GTGCCAAGGCAGCATGCGTCGCATCTCGTTTCATATTTCGCCCCCAAGCGGCCCTTCAGTACTTTGGCACACCCGACGCCTACGGTGCGAGCGACGACGTGGCACCGATGCTGGTCGCCGTGCAAGGGCGCCCACTGCCCATGCTCGCTCGTCATTCCAGCGCCGTCGACGCGCTCCTCGTCGCCTTTTGCGCTTGCACGGTGATCAGTATCCTCGTGTGGCAACGGAAGAAGCGCATCGCTGCGAATGGAGCCGATGCACTCGTGCTTGTACGTGACGTGGGCATGCCCCTATAAGTCTCTACCTGTACACATGAGTACAATTTTGTATACAAAGTAAACTATTGATGCCCAGTCGCAGTTGCCTGTCGATGCACCGCACCCGACTGGCCTGGAACACGCGAGGAACAACAATGGACACCAGCGACTAGCTCGCGAGCACGAAACTCCAATTCCGGGCCGTAGTATCAGTGTATCGATGTATCAACAGCAAAGATACTGCGTTGTTAGAGTCCTGCGAGCGCCGGTACGAAGCCCCTCTCAACCCTGTCCACGCGTCTTGCATCGAGATCGATACGACCTCACAGCATACGTGTAAATTGCATCAAGTGTGGTCGTGGTCAGCGCCTCCGAACGAGACGCTCACCACGACATCGTTGCGTGTTTCACTTTAAATTCTATTGTTCCGAGCTAAAATCACAGCTCTTTACAATTATTTTGTATTTCGATACAAACATCACGTCAGCTTCAAAAACGAAAATATCACATATGGCCGATCCAGCACGGACGAGCCTCGTGGCGGGCTGTCGCCGCCAGCTCTGGTCGACCGCGATCGCGACCTTCGCACACGGCTTCGCCTTGCTCCTTGGCATCCTTCCGCCTTGCATCTTCGTGCCCATGGGCAAGATCATGGGCCACGCATGCTACGCAGGTAGGCTTCGCTACCTAGCGCTAGCGACCTCGACGTCGTGTAGCGGGCTTGCGGAAACATATCGCAAAGAAGAACGTCGCCATGGCCTTTCCAGGGATGTCCGAGATAGAGCGCAAGCAGCTGCTCAAGGAAGCGTACCAATCGACGTGCACGGTATGCTGCCAACGAGTAATACTCTTCGCATTCATGTGTCCACCTGAACAGTCGCTGCTCTGGTTCCTCCATCTTCGCGCCTTTGGTCGATGGAAGCGCATGGACCGCTACGTCGAGATAGCATTCCCAACTGCGTATCTCGACGATGTCGCCAAAGGCCCTGTGCTCGTAACCTCGGCGCACCTTGGTGGGCGCCACGTCGGCGCCGGTCGTACGACTGATGCTCTTGCGTAGGGTGCTGGGAGCTGCTTCCGTTTGTGCATGCTGCGCCGCATGTGCCAATACGCAGTGTCTATGCAGTACGAGCTTTTCGTGGCTCGGCGATTCGTAGATACATAATGCGTTGCGTAGCTCTACCGACCACTCCACAACGCGGCGCTGGACCGCGTCGTCTTGGGCCTTCGCCAACACGACCCGAGCATGCACCTCTTGCCGGTTGCAGCTCGCTTTGCATCCTTGGTCGTCACGCGATAGGTTAGGACAAGCACTGTCTTCCGAGACTGAACTCGATTCTCAAGTCACCGGACCCCCACACGATCGTGGCTCTGGTGTGCGACCAGCGCCCTAGTCACAACCACGTGCCCGTGCGCTTCTTGGATCGTCCCACGTTTTATGCCCCCGGCGCCGCCGTCTTGCACATGCGTAGCCACCGACCCGTGTGGTTCACGGCGCTCTTGCATGCCCCGTCGGGCGCAGCAAAGCCATTTCGCCTCGTCACGATTCCCGTATCGATCTTCTCGACTTGGGCTGTCGAGCTTAGCCACTGCAATAGGTCATTGGACGGGACACGGACGTGATGCAACTCGATTTGATCATGCAGTCGTACGCCGATATCGTGTCGGCGTGCGTTCGCCAAGCGCCCGCGCAGTACATGTGGTTCCACGACCTCTGGCGCGACGCTGCCTAGTGCCAAGAACGCTTTTGCTCGTCGCTGCAGACAAGGAACGGCGTGGCAAAGCAACGCCACGATCCAGTCGGCAACACGTCTCGCACGTTCGCTGCTCTCGAACATCGCGTCTTATATGAACGGAACGGCTCGTTGGCACTACGTTCTTATCGCTGCGCTGACAGCGATGCATACCCAGGCACAATGATGTACCCATTGGGTTCCCAGGATCGATGCTCGACGAGAACGCAACCTTGGACAAGCTGACACCATGCTTCTCGGCAGCCCAGCGACGGGTGACGCGAGCTTTGACGATTCGCAGCTGCAAAGAATGGGATTGGAGTCAAGGAAAAGGGCGCGGGTACAAAACAGTGCATTTTAACCACCTACTACGTGGACGGAGCGCAGCCCCAAGCGCCGGTGGCGATCTTTTGGCACGTGGCCGATTTTGAGAGGACGCAGCTGTTGCTGGCAGCAACGTAGCTATCCAAGTGTGGGTGGCAGTCGCCTGAAGCCACGGTGCCCGCATCCGGGCAGCTGACACCGTCGGGCGAAAGGCCTGCGCCACTGCAGATCGGGCCATTGATGCAGTACGTCGCATCGCCTTGCACCGATACCAACGTGCACGACTGGTGGGGTCGCTCAGTCGGACAAGGCGCATCGGTCGGACGGGGACGCTCGGTCGGACACGGCGCATCAGTCGGACGGGGACGCTCAGTCGGGCATGGCTGGTCCGTAGGATGCGAGGGGAGAGCGCATCCCCAGGCACCTGTGGCTAGCTTTTGGCACACGGCGTCATGGGAAAGAACGCACGTTGAGCCAGAAAGAAAGCTCGGTGCGTCGGAGTTGCAGTCTGCCGACGCCACAGCTCCCTTGCGCGGGCACGCGACGCCCAAGGGCGCGATGCCAGCGCCAACGCAAACCGATCCCAAGATGCAGTACGTAGCGTCGCCTTCGACGGAGACCGACGTACATGCCGAGGCCGCTGAAACGAGAGGTAGAAGAAGGCCGAGACGCATGGCAAGGGAAGTAATCCAAAAGTGAGTGGCGAGAGCTCGTGAGGGCAACGCATCGAGTGCCTACTGGGCGCTTGGCTGCTGGCGACAGCATATTTGTTGTTGCAAACATTGCGAGTTTCCAAAGCGATCTCCTTCTCTGTTGCACCATGAAGAGTTCTAGTACAGCCTTGAGACGTCTCTGGCGTCCAACAGGATGAGCTCGCTTGCTTGGTTGCTAATGAGGCTCCAAGAACACTGACAGTGCTTTGTACGCTGAGCTGGAGTTGCGTCGAGGAGACAACCAATGGTTCGTCTTGTGCCCACCATAATGAACAAATTGCTATCTTTTGAAGAGTTTCGCGTCAAGTTGGCAAGACTGGACTTCACGGGAATGTATTGCCGGCATCTTGGCACTGTGATTCCATTTCGTACCGTTTGAAAACTGCATCATTGGATCACAGGCACGAGGAGATGCCTTCTGATGTGTTGAGGTGCAACAAAACCAGCAGCGCCAAGACCTTCAATTGGTGCAGGCGGATTCTTCACGATTTGTGGCGTGCGCGCTCCATCGTGCCCCGCATGATCGCCGTCCCCATCGCACCACAAGCTTGCAAGGTATGCTACCGGTGGCGTCAAGGCAAAGAGGAAGATACATCCGCATGCAAACCCACGAGCAAAAGCTTCTAATGGATAGTATCTCGAACGTGGGCTGTCGCAACCCCACGACACGGCGAGGTTGCACCTCGCCTTGCCACGTATCCACCGACTGCCCCTCTATCTATTCTGTTTGTGGTCCATGAACGTACATTGAAGAATTAATGATGACGGGTCTTGCACTCAATTGCAAGTACGAAAAGGCAAAGTGACGAAGTGCAAATGCAAGGGCCGAACGAAGCCGCCTGCTCGCATCTTTGAAGCCATTTACACGACGCGGTCACTCTTCTGCGACGCAGGCAGGATTCGTTGGGTTCGATTTGTATGTCGTTGACGTGGCCGTATTTCATAAAACACTTTTTTTCTGAGCAGCGCACGGGCAGATGTGGTCGAACCACCAACTGGACCCCGGGAGCTGTCCAAGTCTCTGGTTGCTATGCCACACTGCGAGTATGATGTCTGGTCACGACGTCGCGAGCCGGCGCCTTGGAGCACATGTGAAGCGGCAGAGCGTGCAGCAAGACCACATGGCCATTCGCTGGCTGCCCAAGAGGCGTCCACCGTATTTTATTTTTACAAACTTGACCTTTGTAGGTGAAATAAACCGCATGGATTAAAAATCGCGTTGAGCGCGTCGTCACACTTAGACAGGGTGATTTGATCTGCGCTGTCAGTTTTAGATCATATATGCATTCGCAATACAATAAATCAGATAAAATAGTACCTATAGTCAATGCCTGTTCATTTGTATGCACTTGTGGGATATGGTGTAAAGTGACACACATGCTTGTCAATTAGGACCGCGGCGGAATCGAACCCGCCAGATCCAGCGCGACGTCGTATGTCACCGCAGCAGAAATCATTTTAGAAATCGCTCGGTATGGTCAAGGGATTGCTGTGGTTTGTGGGCGCTATCCTCGTCGCGGCCTCGTCGGCCAAGGACGAGCCGTCGCGTATGCTCCGTGCGGCGACGCACACCAAGGGCCCGACGCACTTGGGCTACCCCATCAACCTTGACGGGCCATTGGACACTGAGTCGGCGCCTCTCGTGACAACCGTTCTCGACGAGCCCAGCCACGATGGCTCGTGGGATGCACCCGGCGACGACGATGGCTCAAAGGACGATGATGATGAGCCCACAGACGATGACGATGAGCCCACGGACGACGATGATGAGCCCACGGACGACGACGATGAGCCCACGGACGACGACGATGAGCCCACAGACGACAATGATGAGCCCACGGATGAACCGGTTGATGATGATACTACGGACGAGCCGGCGGACGACGACACCACGGAGGAGCCACGTGACGACGACGATACCGACGTGCTGCCAGAGAGTGACGACGATCCGATGGTGGAAGACTCGGCCAGCACGGACAAGAACGACACGACGCTCGACCCGAGTCTCTTCGAAGACGACGATATCCTCACCACGGCGCCACCATCGAGCAAGCGCCCGGAAGACTCGGCCAGCACGGACAAGAACGACACGACGCTCGACCCGAGTCTCTTCGAGGACGACAATATCCTCACTACGGCGCCACCATCGAGCAAGCGCCCGGAAGACTCGGCCAGTACAAACAAGAACGACACGACGCTCGACCCAAGTCTCTTTGAAGAAGGGACTCTCAACACGACGGCGCCTGTCAAGGCCATGAACTTGCAATCGGAGAGTGCCGGTACGACAAGCGACAAGACCGGCGACAACACGACGCCGTTCATCGTTGCTGGCGGTGTCGTCGGGTGCGTGGCCATCTTGGCCGTGACGGCGTACGTCCGCCGCCGACCGGCCCAGCCCGAAGACCCGCACAAGTCGCGCATGCGCTCCGTCTACGTGATTGACGCGCACACGCTGTAAATACCATAGCAACCGCTTCTCTTCGTGTCGTAATACAAAGTTTCCATGTGCTTCTTGAAAGGCAAAGTCCCAAGTGCAATTTGGGTTCTCGGTTCTGATTCGCTGTGTGGCGATCGTTGGCTTTGGCAGTTGCGTAGTCGTTGCCCACAACAATAACACGAATACTATCTATCTATCTATCTATCTATCTATCTATCTATCTATCTATCTATCTATCTATCTATCTATCTATCTATCTATCTATCTATCTATCTACCCATATGCAGCCCGATATGCCGCTACCGGCTCTGTACACACGTTCCCCGAAGCATCCTGTCTCGCCTAAATAGGCGTAAATTGACCATGTTGCCGCTACCCAAAGGAGGATTGTCTTTGCGGCATTTAACGGCTTTGACGACCTTAATCGATGCACAGTTGCAACGTACGCCTTGTAATGGCATGAGCAGGGTCCAGAATTAAATGGAGAGATCAATTAATGCACAAATAAGGCGAGCACTCTATGCCTCTGTGGTCGGCGCCGTCGCCGGGGCAGCGGACGTCGCGGCCTCGGCCTCAGTAAGCGGAACGTGGTAGATCTGCACACCGATCGGCCGCTTGAGGTCGACACGACTCTTGGTAATCTGAATCGAGGGCGTGACCCACGTGCCGCACGAGCACTGCGACCCGCTCCACTCGAACGAGCCGAGACGCGCGTTGCACTTTTTGATAGGGCAGTGGAGCTTGCCTTCGGCGAGAAGGGCTTCGTCCATCCACGGCATCGTGTCGGCCATGAAGAACGAGCTGCAGTCAACAACGCCGTTCGGGTTGCGCTCCTTGATCATCTATGCCATCGTCCATCATTGTCAGGCTTGTAGAAGTGGATGGAGGTACTACCTTGCGCAGCGCGATGCGGTGCTGGTGGGGCTCATGCTCGAGGAGATCCTCGGACGTGAAGAGCTTGAACCGGCACATGCGGCAGACGTACTCGTCGACTTCCTGCGTCATGCTGCTTGCGTCCATGCGTCTCGTACCGAGGAATGGCAAACGGCAAGCGACCGGGCGCGTACCCCGGGGTAACCAATCGCATTCGCTGGCCGCGAGCCACCCTAAACCCAAGACCGTGCCTGGTGTGAGCCGGGGCACGATGACTCGGCATTGGCTTCGAACTTCGGTCCAGTCGGAGATAATGTTCCAGCAAATCCATCAGCGTGGATCGGCATGCGAACGGCGCAGTCGTCATCCGCCGGGATAAGCCCATGCGCATGCTTTCAACGAGCGAGCAAACACAAGCTTACTGTGCATGTAGTGGTGTGTCACAGAAGACCAGGTACAGTCTGTATTGTAGTTGGCATGGACCCTCAGCAGCATCGGCGCGTGTTGCTTGTCCAGCTCTTATTCTTGTAGCTTCACTGTGTCGTGCATTGGGACGCACTTCGTTGCCGTCTGTTCCTCTTGCACGGAAACGAAAGCTCCGTGGGACGATCGCATCGTATCCAAATCCCAACGCAAGGAGTCTTGCGATCACGTCTCTTTCCTTGGGCGACGAGAACTCTGCGATTCACTGGTACAGTCGAACCGCCCCCCAAGAATCGATACCATGACGCCGAATGCAGCAACAAGGTAGCTAATGTAGAGCTTGTCGCGCGCGTGCAATTGCTTTGGGAGCTTTCTCTTCTCATGAGAAGCCGTGTGCACAGATTTCGCGTGTGGCTACGGCGCCTCTGGATGCCCCAAACGTCCACGGACGCGTCGAACCTGCGAGACTTGATGTTGAACTTCGAACTTCGGACGGTGTCGAGATGCAACGCGGATCCCACGCTCCCGAACGAAAAGACTGCCCCACTTTCGAATTTGAGCGACCGACCAAAGCCATGGCCCGCGTCGACAAGCACACGCTCGCGAACCTCGAGGCCATCTCGGTGCTCAGCCTCGACTTGCACCTCACGGCCGACTTTGGCCGCAGCGCGCTCGACGGCTACGTCGACATTGAAGCCGAAGTGCTCGCGCCGACGACGTCGTTTGTCCTGGACACGCGCGCGCTGTACATCAAGAGCGCGACCATCGATGGCTCGCCCGTGCTCAAGAAGCAGATCGACGACGAGGTCTTTGGCACGGCCTTGCATCTGGCGCTGCCCGAGGCGGTCCAGGCCGTCGGCGCCACGTTCACGGCGCGCATTTACTACGAGACGACGCCGGAAAGCTCGGCGATCCAGTGGCTTCCAAAGGAGCAGACGGCCGACAAGGAGTACCCGTACCTCTTTACGCAGTGCCAGGCGATCCACGCGCGGTCGCTCCTTCCGTGCCAGGACTGCCCGATGGCCAAGTCCATCTACAAGGCCACGATCACGGTGCCGTCGTGGGCCAAGTGCTTGATGAGCGCGGTCGCGTCGGCCGACCCCGAGACATGCGGCGAGACGACCAAGTTCTTTTACGAGCAAAACGTCGCCGTGCCGTCGTACTTGATTGCGATGGTCATTGGCCACCTCGAGAGCCGCGAGGTCGGGCCCCGCAGCCGCGTCTGGAGCGAGCCGAGCATGGTCGATGCCGTCGCGTACGAGTTCGCGCAGACCGAGGACTTTCTCCGCAACGCCGAGGAGATCATGGACCAAGAGTACGTCTGGGGCCGCTACGACATGGTGTCGCTCCCGCCCTCGTTCCCGTTTGGCGGCATGGAGAACCCGTGCTTGACGTTCGCGACGCCGACGCTTCTCGCGGGCGATCGGTCGCTCGCCGACGTCATTGCACACGAAATTGCCCACTCGTGGACCGGCAACCTCATCACGAACCACACGTGGGAGCACTTTTGGCTCAACGAAGGCTGGACCATGTGGCTCCAGCGCAAGATCATGGCCAAGATCTACACGGAGCTGCACTTTGACTTTGATGCGATCATTGGCTGGAACGCGCTTCTCGACTCGGTCGACCACTACGGCCACGACCACGAGTTTACCAAGCTCGTGCCGGTCCTCGACGGCGCCGACCCGGACGACTCGTTCTCGAGCGTGCCGTACGAGAAGGGCTTCAACCTCCTCTACTACCTCTCCAAGCTCGTTGGCGACGCCGAGTTTGAGACGTTTGCCAAGGCGTACGTGCGCGCGTTCCGCTACAAGACGGTCACGTCCAACGAGTTTCGCGACTTCTTCATCGCGTTTTTCGCAACGACCAAGGGCGACGCGCTCGCGACCATCGACTGGGACGCGTGGTTCTACGCGCCCGGCATGCCGTCCCGGCCCGCCTTTGACACGACGATTTCCACGGCGTCGGCCGAGCTCGCGGACCGCTGGCTCCAGAACGCGGGGCCGTTTGCCGCCGCCGACATTGCCAACTGGACGTCGTCGCAGATCATTGTGACGCTGGAAACGATTTTGGAAAAGTGCATTGCGCGCGGCGAGTTCCTCTCGCACGACGTGCTCGCCGAGATGGGCGCCTTGTACAACTTGGTCGAGACCAAGAACTCGGAGGTCCGGTTCCGCTACCAGACGCTATGCGTGCGCGCCGAGTACGCCGTCATTCTGCCGCAAGTCGAAGCGTTCCTCAAGGAGCAAGGCCGCATGAAGTTTGTGCGCCCGCTCTACCGCGACCTGTACAAGTCGGCGTTTGGCGCGGAAGCCGCGCGCCGCATCTTTGCCGAGTGGAAGGACAACTACCACCCGATCGCGCGCAAGATGGTCGCCAAGGACCTCGGCTACTAACAACAGCCTCTCTCCGTCGTTGTGGTAGAACTGCTGATAGTACTAGCTCGAATCAATACATGTGCATTTCCCCATTCCCCATTGCGATCGAGAGGTTGAGATGGTGGCTACGTAAGAATAAGATTGGCATTCAGCGGCCGCGCGGGATGGAAAAGTCAAAAGCGCCGGCTTCTTAAATGGAAAGCTGCGTCGTCGGGTCGTGGGGCAAGGCGTCGTCGTCGTCGTCGTCCTCCATGGCTTGGACCATCAGATGGGCGTCGCTGCCGTGCAGTGATTCCGACATCAAGTGGTGGTTCTCGCTGCCGGCGGGCATATCGTACTTGTGGTTGTCGGCGTCCGTGCCGTTGAGCGCCTGGATGAGCTGGGTCGCAGCCATCGCGTTGTTCTCGAGCAGTTGCTGGTCCACGAGCGCGTGCGCCGACGATTGCTGTTGCGCCAGCTGCTGCTGGACGAGCTCGTTGTTGGCCGCTTGCAGCAGCTGCGCCTCCGTCATGCCGGCGTGCACCGACGACGGCATGGGGATTTCCATCGTCTCGCCCGATTCCGGGTTGGGCGCATTCGCCGCGTTCGCCGCTTGCGTCAAGGCGCTGAACCGGTTGTGGATGTCCTTCATGGTAAACACGCCAGGATGCTTCTTCTCAATGAGCTTGAAGAGCTCCGAGCGCGAGCCTTTGACCGCGTGCGTGATCTCCAAGAGGTACTACACAAGAAAGAACACGTGAGCGTCATCTAGGCGAAGCGGCCTACTTGGCACGACTCGTCCCAGAGCATGCGCTTCACGGACGGGTATCGTCGCCACGCCTCGGCCGAGAGCTCGTGGTTGTGCACGAGGTTCTTCTGGGCGATCTGGATCGAGTACTCCTTGCGCTTCGCGTCCCACTCGGTCTGCGCGATAAAGCGGAATGGGCACTTGTCGCCTGACGTCGCATGCGACTTTTCGCCCTCGACGCACATGAACTCCTTCCGCCGGTACTCGGGCAGCGCGATCGTCGCGCTCTGGAAGAAGCGCCGGGACCGCGTCTTCTCGCGGCCATTGCGCTTCTTGTCCATCTGGTTGAGGTATGACTGCATCTTCTGCGTCCGCTTGGCCACGAAGCACGAGTTGGTCTTGTGCATGTAGCGCTCGAGCTCCTCATCGAGGTGCTTCCAGTCCTTGCACTTGGTCGGGAACCCATCCGGCGACGCAGCACTGCCGTTGGCCATTGTTGCAAGAGCCGGGCGATCGAAAAATAAAAACACCCAACTTTGACCGGATAGAAACACCCAGTCCTATTTGCAGGGCGCTTTGTTGACGCAGCCGCCAGTCGTCGCCTCGTGGCCGCTTGATGCCCAAGAGATCTTTGTCATACACGCTGGAAGCAGAGACGGTAGCATAGCGCTGGCCGTTGCATGAAGACATGGACGATCGTGGCCAGGCGCGACGGCCACGTGAGCCTTGCGCCACCCAACTTTCGGCCGAATCTGCCGATGTTATCCGGATATGGAAGGGACGGCCAATGTCCGGAACAAGCGATCTCTGATCCGGAAGCCGACGCATCGCGCAACGCGACTTTGGTTCTGGCCTGTCTTGAGCGACGGCGGGCTTGCAGCCGCTTCAAACCGAGCTTGACAACGCTTGCAGAGGCTGGCAATGCCGTCGTACCGATCCAACGGCAGCGTCCGGATAATGGGCGGCTACATTTAAATTTGGAAGTCCGGTTGCGTGTATCTAATGCACCACCGCACTGGCTTGGAAGGCCTTCCTTACCGGATAAAGGGTCCATCATCCGGAAGGATTCGCTGCAGATCCAACATGGAGGCGCTGCTCCTTCGGTGCCAATCTGCCGCCGACGTCGAGGTCATCCTCGAGGGCGCCTTCTCGAGCGTTCTGGAGATGAGCAACATGGCGTCTCTCCATGAGGCCGACGCCCAAGTCGAGCTCCACGACGTGGTCTTGGCGGCGCTCTCGCCGTCGACGTCGTCCGACCTCGAGCAGACGCTCAAGGCCGTCGGCAACGCGCAGCTTCGCCAGCTCTTGGCCGACCTTCTCCATGATCAGCGGCGTGCCTTATGGCGAGAGATTTCCACGCGATCGGGCGCCTGTCCATCGCTGCCAAAGATGCTGGATGTCCAATGGCGTGTGCAGGTGACATCCGACCCCACGCATGACGCCGGTCGCGTGGAGCCCATCGCGCTGCTCGAATGCACGGGGCAAGAAGCGCAAGTCCATTCAGCTCAGTTCCCGGCGCTGCGATCGATTCAGTTTCAACTGACAAAAGGTACAAAGGCCACTCGACCCCGCGTTGTCTGCACACGTCCTAGGGTCGGCGGACAAAATGGTATCCGAGCTGCACGTGATCCGCGACCAGATCCAATTGCTGCAGAGTACATCTCGTCTTGCTTAGGAACCTTCTCCTTCTAATCAATCAATACGTGTCTACTCGTCCGAGTCGTAGCCCGAGTGGTATGCGACTTGGATGCTCGACTTCTTGGCCTAAACAGAGCGCATTGAATGGTCTTTGTACGAGACATTGGCTTACCGAGTGGGTCGGCTCGGCCTCGTCGTCGGCGACATCGATCGCGCCAATCTTGGCCAAGCGACGCGCCAGCTACGAGAGCGTTGAGAAGACCAGAAAACACGAGGATGGGAAACCTACGTTGACGGTCGGGAACTCGTCTTCCTTGCCGGCGCGGAGGCCGTCCGTGAGCCCTTCAAAGCCCACGATGCGGTCGTCCGACGCAATGCCATCCTTGAAGTAAATGACCGTCGGGAGCACGCGGACGACGAGCTTGGTCACAAAGAACGGCGCCTTCTCGGCGTCTAGCTTGAGAAACTTGCACTCGATGTGGCGTTTGGCGACCTTGGCCATGTGCTACGCAGATATATGCTCGTTGGCGATGGCGGCAATTGGAGCCATACCATATCGATGATCTTGCAGCGTTCAAAGTCGCGGTGGTAGAAATGGACGACGACGCGCGGGCTCGATGTGACTTCCTTGAGGAACTCGTCCTGCACGATTTCGCTACGCCACATCGTACATGCGTTTTGTCGGCAAAGAAGGGTTCGTACCGGTAGTCGCCGTGGCCCTTGGCGAGGTTCTCTTGCTTGACGCGGTACTGCTCTTGCAGCTGCTTCATGCGGAGCTCGCGAAGTCTATGATGGCCGGATGAGTGTCGTCGCGCGCCATCGCGTATGCGCACCGGAGAAAGTCGGGATCGTCTTCAAAGTCATCTTCAAAGTCATCGTCGTCCTCTTCGGCGCTCGTCTTCTGGGCGTGAAGGTTGTCGTGCTCGTAGTGCTCGGGCTTGACGGTCTCGCGGATGAATTGCGTTTCTTGGGCGTCGAGGTTCGAGAGCAGCTGCTGCTGCTCGGCGACCTTGGCTACCTGGCGCTGCTGCTTCTCGTGCTCCTCGCGCACCTTGAGCTGCTCCATGGCAGCACCCATGCGGTCCTGCGCCTCGAGGTGGTCCTCGGCGCCAAAGAGCCCGGAGCCCCCGACCATGCTAAACTTGCTCGCCATTGCGCCCCTTCCAAAAGTTGACTGTCGGTTCGAAGTTACTACTTTCGGCATGGCCAGAAACGCGTCACATGCCACGTTTCGAATGCCGAAAATAAGAGCGCTCGGTCCCGATCCCATGGACTTCAAGTAGCTTGAAGTCGGCGTGCCAAGCGTCCATGGGCGCGCAGTCAAGTGACGTCGTGAGCGTCGAGGACGACAGTGAGATCGTGCAACTTCTCTCCTGGCAAGACGCTGCACGGGGCTTTGCATTCGGCCGCGATGCCGAAATTAACAACTGCTTTGGATTGGTCCAAACGACGGAAATACATTGAATGGACCAATGCATAGCCTACATACCAGTTTACGCACACGCAATTGGCTTAAAATCGCTACCGTCGCTGCTGCTGCATCCTGAGGCACGCCAACAGACTTCTCGTCGCAACCGGTCCTCGCACGGCTTATACGTACATACATACGTATCTTGCCGAGATTCGTCCTACTTGGTCTTTGCCGTGATGCGTCGGCCCCGTCGAAACAACTTCGTCCCATACGTCGCCGCGCGTGCTCCAATGTGGCACATGCCACCAACAGAGCATACCCCGGTGTACGCCGCGTGATGGCCAATGACACAGTGCAACGCGCTTGATTGGTTTTTGAGATGAGGTACGAGCCGGCGACTCTCGTGGCGTGGCGCTCACGACGCTGCATCAACAGCGCGCAGACCTACGACGACGTGTGTGCCAAGGGCAAGGAGGAAGCGGAGCAGCGTCTCATTGACCATCTTGTGCGTCGGCCTCCGTCGCTGTTGCAGCATGCCTCACATCGGTTGTAGCAAGAGTTTGGCGGGGACGTCTGGAACATCAAGTCGGGCTGCATGGGCTGCAAGACGAACGCCAACAACATCGCGCTCAAGGTACCTCAGGCTTCGGTGCTCGAGGCGGCGACAAACTGCGCTGTACATTGGTAGACGTGCAGCAAGTGCAAAACGGCGCTCTTCTGCGGCAAGGACTGCCAGAAGAAGGCATGGAACATGCACAAGTACGAGTGCATGGTCATGAGCACGATGCAAGAAATGGCGGTGCCGATGTCCGACGCGCCCGCTGTCTACGACCTGTACGTTGTCATCGTTGGATGAACCTCGATCGTCATGGGCGGTAGGGTCCGGTCGTGCCTCGAAACGCTGACGTGGAGCCCGAACGCCAAGGAGCTCACGGACGAGTCGCTTTTGCTCGTTGCCAAGAACATTGGGCTGACCGGCCCCATCCTTCCGGGCTGGTTTACAAGCATCAACCTCGTGCAGGTTGGCTCGTTTCCAGCATCGGCCAATACAACTGATGTGCTCCGGAATAGCACCCCGCGAGTCAGACGGCGTACGTCAAGGCCATCATTGTGCTCTTCGCGCTGCTTCGCGACGAAGAATGCTGGTACTTTCGCTGCGGATCGAGCTCTTGGACCGCAGCTCACATGGGATGTGCAGGACGCGCGACTCGGACAGCTTTCCCCGCTCGTCTTACACCTTTGCAACGGTACGCAGTCGTCGTGTCGTCCCTATGGTTGACAACTGGAGCTCTGTAGACGATTCCCAAGACGGCGAGTGCGCGTGCGACGGCGCTGGCGCATTTCCTGGAGCTGCAAGGCCCGCTCGTGCTCTTCACGGCGTGGATGCAGGACCCGCAGCCGCCGGCGATCCAGTCCGTGCCCTTTGAGAAGCGCCTTATCCATGGTCTCATGGATACGCTCCTCCAGATTGAGTACGTTGTCGTCGGTATGTGCATGTGGCTCATGGATGATACGTGTAGAGAGATTCGCAGCGCGATCGACGCCTTCATGGATGCACCTGAGGCGACCCATTGATCATAACGTTATGCGTCTGCCTCTGCACCGAGGCGCTGCACCATTCACGTGTTGTGGTGGAAGAGAACGCGACGGGTCGTCGTCGTGGCGGTTGCCGATGTGTTGCGTGTCGGTGCATATCGGACAAATAAGGCTGGATTGGAGGAGGTAGTAGGCTCGTATCGACTGTCTACGCGTGCTGGATGGACGGCGGCTTGAGTCGCTGCTTGGGCTTGTCCACGAGCGGCGCGACTTCTTCCAGCGGATCGTCCCAGTCGTGGTACGACATGGTCGTGCCAAAGAGCTCGGAGGGCAGCGGCTCTTTCAGGCTCGCACATCGAAGGCGCGCGAGCTGCCGCCGCCACAGAACGATGCACACAATCCAGAGCACGCCATAGACGCCAGCTACAAACCAACGACACTGAGCCAACATCCTCGACACATCGCGGTGGCCTACCCGATATAAAGCACGAATCTGACGACGACTGCGGCGTCTTGACCTTTGGAATAAAGCGCGGCTGAAGGCGCAGGAGCGCGCCGAGGCAGAGCTACACACCAAGATACGCTAAGATCTCATCGCATCCGCGTCCGAAGCGTACGAGGAACATGGCGCCCGCGAAGGAGAAGATGCTGCAGCAAAGGTAGCCTACGCGTCGGCGCTCATTAGCCTCGGTCGCGCTCCATGGCCGGCGGTCGATGGCTGGTCATACCCATGGCGCAGTCTCGTCGGTCGTTCTTCTTCTTCGTCGTGCGAATATCGAACACTGAATATGGCGACGACGGACGACTCTCGAATGGTGGTTTTGACTTGTATTTTGTATGACGCCTCCACGGTATGCAGCTGGTTCACAATCTTTTAAAGGTGATTTTGGCCAATCGGACGCGCGTGTTCATCCCGACAGAGCACAGGAAGAAGCGCCAGCTTGGATCCATTCACCAAGAGCACAGACACTACGAGGGCTCTCATGTCAACTCGATCGTCTCGAGTAGCTTGAATGATGTTGCCCGTAGGACTTTGCTTCGAGGCGGAAACGTTATTAGACGAGCTAAAGAGTTGGATCGTGCTGCTTGGATCGGACCAGTTTATTCTTCGCGGGGATCGGTCTTCTCGTCCCTCCAACAGGTTTCTAAAGCGTATTTGGACAGTGTAATTCTTATTGCTTGGTTATTTGATTGCATCAGTGCGTGAACAATGAAGTAAAGAGGCGACTGGGATGAGACGTCGCGTTCGGCTATGTGTAGAACCGATGCGTTATCCGCTCTGGAACGCTGGCAACGGTCGCTGGCAACGGTGGACCGTCAATGCGGTGCCATACAACCACGTTATAGTCGTGTTTTTCGACAAAGTCAGTTCGGTTCCCTCCCAAATTTGTGCATTGAGCTTGCGATGTATGCGCAACGACTGCATCCATAAAATCCTCGCCGCATCGACGCCGTCGGTTGGGTCGCTTCTATTGCTGCAAGAGAGGATGAGGCGGGACAAAGACGCGAAAGTGGCACCGGTGGACGGACTGGAACAGTACACGTAGCAAGCGAACGTCGCGGGATCTCAACTGGAAGCATCGCCAGCCGTGGCGTGGCTGTCGCTGTCTCAGTCGCGGGTTGTGCCGGCTCCGAAAGAAAGTGAAGTCGCCTCCTGGAGGCTTGTAGGAAAGGGCAATTTCAAACGACCCAATCAGGGCGCGCCAATTTGCGGCCGTACAAACCACCGCGATAGCGTATTCCCTTGGCCACGGCTTTGAAGCAGACAGACATTGCAGCATAGGAACACCGTCGCTGCACAGGTCGCTGCACTATCATAGTGCTTACAGGACCAGCAGCCACACTCGGTTCGGCCAGCCAGCGTGCGGGTAATCCAGGTCGTCGCACGAGGCGGCCAATCAAACGCGACCTCGGGATGTCGCACCTTTGTGTTCCTATCGTATCGAGCGCCAGAAGCAGATTGGCCCAGAATGACAGACACGGACGCAGCGACGACTCTCCCGTCGCTTGAGGACCTCAAGATGATCAACGAGATCGCCGAGCTCCTCGATGATGCGGGCTTGGCGTCCGCGTCGCCAACGCCGTCCGTCAAGAGTGACGACGCGCCGGCGGCCAAGATCGTCAAGACGCAGCACTATTACCGCAAGCGGCAAAAGGACGAACGCCAGTACCTCCACGACCAAGTCAAGGAGCTGAGCTCCAAGCTGTCTGTGCTCACGACCATGAAGACGCTCGAAGCCGATCAGTGCTCGCACTGGGAAAAGGTCGCCCGCACGCAGAAGCTCGGGTCGCAAAAGGCGGCGCTCGAGAACGCGCGGCTCAAACGCGCCCTCGAGGACCAGCTCAAGCTCGCCGAGGCTCTCGACCAGCTCCTCGTCAAACGCCCTCGCCTTGCGGTAAGGATGTCTTGGCTACAAGCTGCATCTCTTATCCGATCGGTAGACGTTTCCGACCATGGACGTGATCGACTGGAAGCTGCGCAAGCTGCCCATGGAGCCCAGTGCGCGCGAGACGAGCTTCCACGCGATGTTGAATGACGCGTACGACCACGTCGACACGAATTTTCTCCAAAAGGGACTGTACGACTCGATGGACCACCTCCGGTCGCTCGACGTGTCGGCCAACGAGACGGACGATGCGATCGTCATTGACGTCCAGAGCGTCCGCCAGATCGCGAGCAACTATTTAACGTGCAGCCAAAACTTTTGGTCGCTCTTGAGCGAGCACGAGTACCTCAACCTCCCCAACGCCCACCTCCAAGTACGTACCGCAAAGCTTTGTACAGACTGGGTGCGACACGACTCTCTTTGTGACTAGGTGCTCGAGCACTTTGGCTCTGACGGCATCTACTTTCGGCATCGCGCCCTCATGCCGCAGAAGAACCCGTACTCGCAGCTCCTCTGGGGCGTCAAGCGCTTCTACGAGAAGAATCGTGTCGTACTCGTCTTCAAGACGGTCCTCGAGGACCAGCGGTATCCGCCGGTGCCCGGCCTGTACATTGGCAACCACACGGCCGCGTACGACCATCGTTTTTGAAAGGAGAAGGCGCTGAGCTGCAGAATGACATAGGATCATCATTGAAGCAGTCGACGAGATGTGGACCTGCCGACGCATGCACATGCTCGGCCAGCTGCCTGTCGAGCCGCCCAAGCAAAGCCCGCTCTCATCGAACCCGAGCCACTTGATCTGCGACTTTATCTTGCACCAAATATCGCCGACGTTTGACGCGATCGAGAGCTTGATCGTTTAAGAAGCACCGAATGTTTGGCTCTCTTATTCTAAACTCGTGGCTTCAATGACATATCTACACACACGCAAAACCACCTCGTCCATATCCAAGCTGCGCGGTACTATGGCGTCTGCGAGTGGCCGTGCACGGAGGACGAGACGGTTGGCGCAGCTCCTTGCGCAAGAAGCAACATTGCATCCTCCTAAAGGTTTCCATCAATGTACAAAGCTTTTAGGCGCTCAGATCCTCCACGCAAGTTGGTGCCGAACGTGGTTGGCAGAACCTCGCTGGCTCTGCCCGCTAACTACAGGTGTCTATCGTTTCTTAATCAATCAATCCGATAGCACCGGCGGTGATGCACATGCATTTCCACCATCGGGCGTGGCTTCAGCGCCATGAGCCACCGCAATACCCATGGCTGATTTCTTCTTCGTTCTCTCGACCTTTCTCTGCGCCCTCCGGCTGCCACGTTATGCGAGTATCCGGCACCTGCATTGGCCAAGAGGCTCCATTTTTAGCCAATCCACGACGACATGACCGACGACAGCAACGACAGCTCGCCGCTCGCACCCGTGTCGGACGACGAGCCCTTGATCGACGCCGCCATCGTGGACAGCCTCCTCGACGAGCCGTGTCCGAGGCGCGTGCGGAAGCGGCAGAAGGACGAGCTGGTCTATTTGCGCAAGCAAGTGGCTGAGCTCAGCGCGCACCTGGCCGCCCTCACGAACGATAATGCGTCCAAGCTCCAGCACTGCAGCACGCGCTGGGAGCGCGTCGCACAAAACCAAAGATGGCGGTCCAGCAAGCGACGATGGAGAACGCGCGGCTCAAGCGGTCACTCGAAGACCAGCTGCATTTGGCGACAGCGCTCGACAAGCTGCTCGTCAAGCGCCCACGCCTCGCGGTACCGCGTAGTACGGCGTCATGGATCGTTCTTATGAAGATAGGTCATGTCGGTTGCCGACACGGCCGACTGGAAGCTCCGGCGCCTGCCGTCCGAGCCTGCTGCGCGCACTGCCGCCTTGGACGCGATTCTCGCCGACGCCTACGAGAACGTCGAGTCGCTCTTTGTGCGGTCCCGGATTCTCGACGCTGCACCGGGGCACCGCTCGCTGACCGTCACCGAAGTCGACGACGCACTCTCGGTGGCTGTCGAGAGTGTGGCTGTCTTGCCCCACGCGTTTCTGGACGCGAGCGAAAACGTGTGGACGTTCTGGGCGCACAGCGACGGCCTCCAGCTCTCGTTTGCCCGCTACGAGGTAGTGCGACTCGAGTCCATCACCGACTATCCATGCCAACCGCTAGCGCCTCCAAACGGTTGGGAACGACACCGTCTACTGTCGCGTCACGGCTTGCCTCGAGGAAGGCGCGCCGTGCATCGGCATGCTCTACGCCATCAAGCGCTTCGTCCAGGACGATCGGGTCGTCTTTGTCCTCAAGACAGTTCTGGAAGATGAAGACTATCCGTGGCCACCCGGCTTGCTCGTTGGCAACCACACGGCGAGGTACTTCACTGTCGCCAATATTGCATACCCAAGTGCGATATTCTAGCATCGTCGTCGAGGCGGCCGGCGAGAACCAATCCATTCGCCGCATGGTGGTCGCGGGCAAGATCTCGACCCAACTACCGGACGAGAGCCCTCTTGTTGGCATGCCCACCACCATTGGCGAAGTCGTGCTCAAGATCGTGCGACCCGTTTTTGACACGCTTGAGTTTCTGTTGAGCTAGCCAAACAATGACGACGTGTCCCTTGGACGTCATTTTCGTGGTGGTCGCTTTCATAGACTTGTCCAAAACAGACACATGTGCCGTCTCTAACGACTTGGAGGCCGCGAGACCATCTTATGCAAAAGTTGATTACGAATCTTCAAGCGCCGACGACGACGTCTTGTGCTCGAGGGTCCGAAAACCCTTTTTCACGACATGCGCAATGGCATCGATCGCACGCATGTTCAAGCTGCAGAGTGCACTTGATGGCGGTAGCTCGAGCGGATAGCGACCTTCGACTGCAATGCGCCGAAGCGTGCCTCCTTCGACAGCCTCCACCACGATGCTACAAAGCGAGACTGAGTGCATAGTGAAATAGCCACGTCTACCTCTGCGTTTCATTGACTATGACAAGGTGCGGTGGGGTCGGGCAACGCTCGTCGCTTAACATCGTTTTCAGCACGATCGTCGTGCGACCTGGCTCCACATACCGCTTGAGACCTGCGAGCGCGAAGAGCGTTGGCCTCGCCCCGACAAAACCGGTCTCAAAGTGGCAGTAGACACTGTCGAGCCCGAAATCTTCGCAGTCCGTCTAGCAGCAACGCGCGTGAATCGCCATCAACGAGAAAGCACAGAAGACCTCGGCGCTGGTCGATGATGCGTGGCACGCTCCATTCCAATGGGACCAAATCGCTTCGCCGAGTACTTGGTAGTCGGCAGCGACAAAGGCGGTGCTTACGTACGTCACGGCAGCGACGCCACTCGTCTCGGTCATGACCGACGCGTGTCGGTGCCCGATCGGGTGCTGAAAGAGCTGTGTTCGAATGTGCATGGCCTCAAGGCTCCGAAATGTGTCGTTCAAGAGCGCGTGGAAGGTCTCGGCGCGCTTCGATACATCAGTGGGCATGCACCGCAGTTGCCAGCTCTCGAGGTGCAGACGCTCCGGGGGCTACGCCACCAAATGTGAGCAAAAATACAGGTCGAACCAACGGCGTACTAGCGCGCGGTGGTGCTTGGTGAGCAAGCGCTCGAGTGTCACAATGAGCTGTCGCTGGTCGTGGACCGCACGGCGGAGCCGCGTGTTGTCAAACGATGCGCTCTTGACCTCGAGCTTCTGGCGCCGAGCGACCTTTTCCCAGCCGTTCGTGCTGCGCTGGACTTGCAGCCGCTTGGCCTCGACGAGCGACGTGAGGATCGCGCTCAAGCTGGCGACTTGCGTTCGCAGCGCCGCCATCTCGGCCTTCTGACGCTTCTGGTAGTGCTCGGACGGGCGGCTTTCGTCCATGAGGCTCTCCATGATCGCTGCATCGATTGCGTCCACCGCTGCGCTCATGTCGATAACTGAGTGCTGCCCTGCTGTGACGCACGCTGATTGGCTGCAAGTTTCGATCCGCGATCGTCACACACACGCAAAATCGGCGCATGACGTGGCACGAGGAGCGGCGTTCAACGAACATGTCATGCCAACCAGTTTCAACTGTTTAAACCATCGAAGAAATCCTGCGCTGGCAAAGGCATCACGCATCGCCATGTCTGTCGTGGTTCAACTGGATGCAACCACAAGGCGAGCCTTGTTTTGGTTGCAGTCCGGACGAACGCTGACCACTGCGCGCCTGTCACCTGATTGCAAACGCAGAGGTGGTCCATAATAGGAGGAGTACAGTCAGCGATAACGCAGGTAAGGCGACTCACACTCTGGAGTGAAATCGTGCTGCTATATATGTACCGGTCGTTGATACGGTGGGCTCAACGTTTTGCTTGTCGTCGAGCAATGTAGACGACGCAGGGCGAGCCACGAGGACAATCCCTCTGACGAGGCTGGATCTACAGCTCGCTGGAGCCAACGCTTTGTTTGGCCATCGCCGTGACGCAATTCTGTCAGGCGCCTCTTTGGGTATCAAAAGCTGACGCAGACACTGCTCTTGCAGCGCAATACATTTACCATGACCAAATATGCGTATAGCCTAAAATGTTAACCCAACATGGAAACATGCATCAATTGAACGCTTAGCTGAAGAGTTGCTCAAGCGTATCGAAGACGAGGCGGACCATCTTGAGGACCGCGTCGCTCACGCGAAGGTTTTGGTGACGCAGAGGGTTCTCCATCGGGGGCTGGGCAGGCAGTTTACCCTGGACGCAAACGCGACGCGACGTCAAATTCGGACCGATGGCTTGGGCCACCATACTATAATCACAAGTGTGAGTATGGAATATACACTCCAATGGCAGGTTTCGCACCACGCCGAGTAGTTGCCGACGAGGACACCGGGGGGCACGGGGTGCGACTCGTCGTCAAGGACGCTTCTTTGCACGATAATGACGCGGTCGCCAAGCACGTAGCGCTTGATCGCATACATGAGATACATGCACGGCATCGTCGCATCCAGGCTCACGCTCATGCGAACATAGACTCCATTTTCATCAAACCGCTCCACAATCTACAAGGCTTAAGAAACCAGATTCTAGATGGACATCGAACCTCGAGACGCAAATGCTGCGGCGTGGTTGTTCCTGACGCATTCCAGACGGACCAGAAGCGGTCGCCAATTTCAAGATACGGCCCGGTGACGTTGACCACGCTCTTGATGGACACGAGAATCATGTCGTTGTCTTCTGCCACCCCCAATGACCGGTGCCCTGGCGGGTCATCCCAGATGCCACTTCGCACAAACATCGTTTCGAGGGCATGATACGCGTCGTCGACGATCGCGTGAAAGGCCGTGGCGCGGCTGCTGGGGTCTGTTGGGAGGCGGCGCAGCTTCCAGTCGGCCATGTCCATCATCGGTGTCGCCTATACAAATAGCAAAATACTTCGGTGTCGGCGGTCGCTACAGCGAGAGCATACCGCGAGCCGCGGGCGCTTGGCCAGCACTTTCTCGAGGGCTGACGCCAGCACGAGCTGGTCTTCCATCACCCGTTTGAGGCGAGCATTCTCCAGCGTCGCCAACTCGGACGCGAGTTTCTGGTTGCGTGCAACTTTTTCCCAATAGTTGCTGCTGGTCTGCACCTGCAACGTCTTGGTGCTGGTGAGCGCGTCAAGCTGGAGCTTCAAGTCGACGGCTTGCTGCCGGAGGTACGCGAGCTCGAGCTTCTGGCGCTGCTGGTAGTGCATCGGCTCACTCAACGAGGGCGTGGGCGCGAGGATGCTGTTGACGATCGCCGCATCGATGAGGTCGTTCATCGCCGACGCGTCGTCCTCCATGTGTGATCACTGCTGGAAAGTGCGCGCTCGGATTGGCTGGACGTTTCACATTGCCCTTAAGCTGGCCAATCACAGGCAGTTGAGACGATTTTGGCCGAGCAAGCAATCACGACCTGAGGGCAGGAGGCCGATTTCGTTGCGACGGGAAGAACCAAGTCCACGCCCATTACCAGGTTGCCATTATGGCACGAGCGCAGACCTTATTGCACCTCAAAGTAGTAAGCACATGACATTTACCAGTGGTCAAAATATGAGCTTTGTTGCGGCCCCTACATGCGTCCCCGCGGACCCTGTCCATAAACGTCCTCTATAAATGTGCATACGCCGATATTGCTAACTCAGCGTGGCTTCCAGTTCGTCAAACACAGACCGAAGCAGCTTGAGCACCGCGTCGCTGATGCGACCGGGTGAGTGGAAGAGCGGGTTCTGCTGCGGCGCTTCGGCCGGCAATCTCCCTTCGACGACCATGCGTCGGATCGTGCGGTTGGCGCCTGCTGCCTGCACAAGGATACTAGCCGATCTATCAGCCACATGTTGCACGCGTCTATAGTCGTACCACGCGTTGTGGTTGCCAACGAGTTGTCCAGGCGGCGGTGGGTGCATCACGTCTTCGAGAACTGTCTTGAGGACAAAGACGATCCGGTCTTGGAAGATGAAGCGTTTGATCGCATACATGATGTACACGCAGGGTACATGGCTCGTCGTGTCCAAGCTCGACGACAGCTGCACGTAGACGCCACTCGCGCCAAAGTCTTCGATCAGCTAGTACACATGCTTGGCAGTCTCTCAAAAGCTTTAAAGATACCTCCATGCGGACGTGCGGCAAGGACGCGCTGAGCTGGCCATGCCAGCGCGACCAGATCGCATCGCTGCACGCGACGAAGTCCTTTGAAATGTCCGCGACGCTCTGCATCGACACGCGAATACTGTCGTCGACCTCGTGGACGCTCAAGCGTCGGTGTCCGATCGGCGCATCGAGGATGCTCGTGCGCACGAGGAGCGTCTCGAGGTGCGTGTGGGCGTCGTCGAGCATCGCATGAAAGGCGGCGGCGCGGCGTGTTGGCTCCGACGGCAGTCGTCGGAGCTTCCAGTCGGCAACGTCTTGGAGCGGCAGCGCCTACGCAGCACGATCAAACGCCCAAGTCGTGGTGCCAAGGCTGCTCATTACGGCGAGGCGCGGCCGCTTCACGAGCAGCTTCTCGAGAGCGCCCGCGAGCTCGAGCTGGTCTTCGAGCACGCGCTTGAGTCGCGTGTTTTCAATGAAAGCGCGCTGCGACGCGATCTTTTGGTTGCGCGCGGTGCGCTCCCAGTGGCCGACATCTGGCGCGTACCTCGCGGATGCCAGCGCGTCCAAGTGCGTCGAGAGCAGTGCGACTTGGCTGCGGAGGTACGCGAGCTCGGCACGCTGCTTCTTCTGGTAGTGCGCCGGCGCGCTCAGGAGGCTGTCGACAATTGCAGCGTCGAGCTGCGCCTCGTCGTCGGACGTCAGCGATTCCATCACAATGAATTTATCCTCGTTTGTGATTGGTCAGTTTTTGTGTCATAATGGCGGCGACCATGAAGAGGTAGGCAGTAAGTCGATCGGTGGCAACCATCCGAAATCCTCGACGACGTCATCGATAGCATTTTTTGGGGTGTTAACGACGGGCGCAGCCGGCGTAACATCGTTCGTGATGGTAGCTGCGCCGGAGGGGCCGTAGCTGGGGGGATCATGACACCCACGCTCGCAAAGTCAGGTCCGCCGACCATGGTCGGATTCATTGATGGGGTTGCTTGCGACCGCCAGCTCGAGTCCATCGTGAGCTCGTTCACCTATGAGAGCAAGCGGTTGATTTCATTTCCATCCAAATGCGCGAGCCCAAGCTCGGTTGCAGGACCCAGGTCTCAGTTGGAGAGACAGGACGTTCACGGCGCAGACGACGAATTTTCGCGCTCATCCATCCCACGCTTTCAGCAGCTTTCACATTGACGGGAGCTAAAATAGCACAATCCGTGAGCCATACAATCAACCAGAGCGTCCTCAACAGCGTACCATCGTGTTTGCGCACCATGTTTGACGACTTGGGTCCACGGCAGTCTACGAGCCATTGCGAGCAGCCGCCGGATCTCGTCAGCAGGCCAATGTCCAGTATTCTTGCTTCTTGCTACCGGGCTAAGCGCGCACAGCCACTTCTGGCGGCACTCCTGGGCGTTGCGGCCTTCCTAAATACGTTGTACTGCCTCCTCCCATGTTCTACCGCTATGACTGTGCGGCCTCCCAGCCATAAAAACTCCAGGCAAGAATGATTGAGCAAAACGAGTCAGCCAGTTCAGACATCGCCTCAGCCCGTTGAATGATTGAAGCAGCAGGGAATTGCTAGGCTTGACGCCGGGGTGGTTGTGGATACGGCGTCTGATCGTGACATAGCACGTGCTTGCAGCTCTATTTGCCGTTCAAGTTGAAGCTCAACGACATTGACTCTACCAGTATATCTAGGTTTAGCTTCGACTTCTCTTGAGCACTTGTCTTCCACCACCCTCGGCGCGCAGATGAAACCGGTCTCAACAGGGGTACCGGTACATATTTAACCTTCGCGTGCCCCAGTCTCGACATATGCCGAGTCTTTAATACCACGACAAGAACACGTAATTCGTTCATTACATCCCGTACTATAGCGTGAAATTCAAATAACCTATTCTTTGTCGTCATGCCAACAACATTTCTAGCGTTTGAAAGACCGACTGCATCATCTTGAAGACGGCATCCGTGACGCTGAGCTCTCTCTGAAGCAGTGGACTGTGCCGCGGCGGCTGGGCGGGCAAACTGCCCTCTACGCACACGCGTCGACACGTTCGGTTCGCGCCGACAGCTTCCATGACAATACTACACATACATTCGTCGAGTAAGATCTTGAATTCGATTCCTTCGCGTCAAACGTACCATGCCGTGTGGTTGCCAACGAGAAGGCCTGGAAGCACAGGCAATTTCTCGTCGTCGAGGACAGTCTTGAGTACAAAGACGACGCGCGTGTCTCGGACGAAGCGCTTGATCGCGTAGTTGAGCTGCATACACGGGGTGCTCGCATCGAGACTCGTCGTGATGCGGACGTACACGCCATCGACGCCAAAGCTCTGGAGGACCTAGCGACACCGTTTACATGCAATCGTTTGTCTACTGTTGTATCACCTCGAAGCGCATGTGGGGCAGCGTGCCGGAGCACCCGCGCCACGTGGTCCACGTCTTCTCGCCGACCGACATAACATTGTCTGGGATCTCAATGACGTTTTTGACAGATATCAAAATCGAGTCGCGGTCCTCGGTCACATTGAGAAGACGCTGCCCGATAGGCGCGTCCAAAATGTGCGACCTGAGAAAGAGCGTCTCGAGGTTGGCGAAGGCGTCGTCGACAATGGCGTGAAAGGCTGCGCTACGGCTCACTTCGTCCATAGGCAGCCGCCGCAGTTTCCAGTCGGCCAGATCCAGCGACGGTGGCTCCTATATATACAGGTAAGATTGAAGCAAATGCGGACCGAGGGCTTACCGCAAGACGCGGTCGCTTGACGAGAAGGCGCTCGAGCTCTTTGGCGACGTGGAGCTGGTCTTCCAGCGCGCGCTTGAGGCGATTATTTTCTTGGCTCGCGCGGGTTGACGCCATCTTTTGGTCGCGCGCGATTTTCTCCCAAAACGTACCCCCTGCGAGCTCGTCGACCATGCGCGAGCTCGTGAGGTCGACCAAAATTGCATTGAGGTGCTCGACTTGCTGTCGCAGGTAGACGAGCTCTTCCTTTTGACGGTCGACGCGCGGCGGGCGCAGCGGCAGCACTGGCAGATCCAGTTCAAAGTCGGCAAACACGGTCGCAATGACATCGGCGGTAGTTGATGCAGGCTCACCGAGAGGCGCCGTTGGCGCACAAGGTATCGCTGTTGTCATGGCTGTCTACAGCGTCTTCAATCCAATTGTGACGACCGCTGCATCTTGGGAAGGTCGCACTGCGTGCTCTTGCATCCTGGACGCGCACTGGTTGACGTGACCGGATGTGGACCAATGGCATCGTCGCATTTGCGTGCAAGGCCACCGTTGTCGCTGCCACGTCGTCGGCTTTGAGCGTGGCCTGTTGAGTCATTCATCATCATGGACGCGGAAGGTACATATTCTGTCAACTCGCATGACGGTGATCGCTGCCCTTTCGTGTCGACGGGGTCGGTGTCCTACTGGATGCGGACTGATGGCGCGTCGCTGTCACCATGAAATGTGTCGGGCAGCCATACATCCAAGCCGGTATTACTACACACAAACGAAGCGTCATCGCCTGGATTCAACGCGCTCGACTACAATGTAATCGCAAGCTCACAATCGTCGCATGTGCTGTAGACACGCACGCGACGCAGCCGCCGGCAGACTAGCGTCGGTCCAATCGCCAGGGTCGAATTGGATCATCGAGACAAATTCCTGGTACCAGGGTGCGGCATGTCGAATCGCGTGACCGGCATACATTACTTGTTCGATGGTGATCGTTGCCCAAGGGAATATGACTTTTTTACTCCCTTGTCGCGGCCCGCCAACGCCCTAGCCAATAGCATTAGAGTCGCCCTCGGCTCACATTCTTCCAGCCGCTTGAAATGCCTCGCGTCTACAATGATGGTTTGATACCTAAAGCTCAGCAACACGCAGCGAGTCGAGCATCCGCCACGAAAGGCTGTGCAGTGCCATACTTTAGCCGTTCTCCACATCCTTCCAACAACAATGATCTAGTCACCTAGTGTTATTATCCAGCGAGAGCTTGCCGTCTGTAGACTACATGTGTGCATGAACCGTATATGCAGTTTGCATTAGGTTGTCCGGGAAGGTGCCAATGCATCGCTCGTTTCGCACCGCGTTCGGGACATGTGCGAGCGACCAAGTCCCATAGGTTGGCTTCTAGACGACATGACGACGTTCGGCTGGACCTGACCACTCGACGATCATTTTACCGCGCCTAACGCGTCTCTACGTATCGACGATCGGCAACTACGCTACACGATGGCTCCAAATTGGACCTGCGTGCAGACACAAGAGGCTGCCACGTCAGAGTTGCGCATCCGGATGATAAACATCTGCCGAGTGGCCCATGGCTGTTGCGACCAGTGTTGCTGTGTTGCGACGTCTACTTTAGAAAAGCCCATGAACACGATGATGATGTTGTCCGAAGACGACGTGCTGGACGCGGCGATCATGGACAGCCTCTTGGACTCGGTCCTGGCAGCATCGCCACGCCCCAACTACCAAGTGCGTCAGCGGCACGAGCTTGTGCAACTGCGCGACGAGGCGGTGACGCTCGCGGCGCACCTCTCGGCGCTGCGCAGCATCAAGCGCGTCGAGGTCGAGGCAAGCGCCGGCGCGTGGGAAAAGATTGCACGCAACCAAAAGCTTGCGCTGGACACAGCGCTGCTTGAGAACACGCGCTTGAAGCGGGCCCTCGAAGACCATCTCGAGTTTGCCGATGCGCTTCAGCATGCGATGACGAAGCGACCACGCCTCTCTGTACAAGATGCGTCTTGCAAGCAGCGACTCATCTATTTGTCTCTAGTCGATGGCAGCCGCCGACTTTGTCGACTGGAAAGTCCGCCGGTTACCGCTCGACCCCCTCGGCCGCCGCGCTGCGTTTGACGGTATGCTCAACGATGCCTACAACTCAATCGAGACACTTTACGTGCGGTCCGGCATCCTTGACGCCGCGAGCGGCCACCACGTGGTAAAGGTCCACGAAGCCGTCGACGCGCTCTGCGTCAACATGCGCAGCGTCGCCGAGGTCGCCAAAGACCACTTTGCCTGCAGCGACTCGGTCTGGACCTTTATGCAGAGCAAGAGCAACGACGTGTTGCCGCACGTCACGTTCGAGGTAATCTTCTATCTACAGTGGTCGACAGTCCCAGCATAGTGAGTAGGTTGTCGAGACATTTGGAGACGACGGTATTTACATTCGTATCACGGCCGCGGCGCAGGCTGGCACACCCTGCACGCACCTCATGTTCGCCATGAAGCGGTTTGTGGAAATCGACAAGATCACGCTTGTGCTCAAGACGTTCCTGGAAGACGCCAGCCACAAGCCGCCCCCGGGTGTCCTCATCGGCAACCACACAGCCTGGTGCGCATGGCGGAGCGTGAGAACTGATTGAACGGTGTTTTGGCGTAGCGTCGTTTTCGAGGCACTGGACGACCACCGAACGTGCCGGCGGTTCTGCGCCGAGGGCAAGTTCCCAACGAATGTGCCGGCTGCAAATCCGCTCTTGCTCGAGGCACTGCCACCGTCGGACGCATTAGCCAACTTTATGGAGCCCATCTTTACGGCCCTCGAAGAAAGTCTGCAATAACAAGGACGCGCAGTTTGTTGCAACGTAGTCGATACATATCTGTTCATGTACTCAAGGACGCATTGTCGTCATCGTACAATGTGTACAGAGGACCAATGTCGGCATCACGGCGATGAAGGCATATGGCACATCGCTGGCGAGGGCGGATCGACGTAGCGCAATCGACTGAATACGTCATCGGGCTGGATGCCCTTTCTCTTTTTTTCTCTACCTTGTCGCTCATCCAGAAAGCTGTCTGCAGACTGCGTCCCGTAGGATCTCGCCTGGCAATGGAGAGGGTTCGGCGAGGTCGTTTTTCGTGTCTGCGCCCATGGGACGCCACGTCAGACACTTGAAGTTGCCATAAAATGAGCTACTTTTGAGAAAGAAGACTTTTAGACGGCGCATTTCTCGCAGCGATGGACCTGGCTTTCCTGGACGACGACGACGGATGGATCGCGCCGCTGCTGACAGAGCCGTTCCTCGACTTCTCCGAGGTGCCTCTGCCTAGCGACCTTACTGCACACAACACGATCAAGGAGGAGACGCCGTTGCCCGGCGAGACGCCTCAGAAGCGGTACCGCGAGCGCCAGAAGCGCGAGCTCGACTACCTTCGCAACCAAGTGACGCAGCTCACGGCGCACCTCTCGGTTGTGCAGAGCCTACGCGGCCACAGCCATGACTCGCACTGGGAGCAGGTCGCGCGCACCCAGCAGCGCGGCTCCCATCAGGCCCACAAGGAAAACGCGCGCCTCAAGCGCGCCCTCGAAGAGCAGCTTGAGGTTGCCACCGTCTTGGAGCAGCTGCTCGTGAAACGGCCCAAGCTCGCAGTACGCATCACGTCTTCGTCGTACGTATTGGCGCTCACATGTGCACCTGCAGGCCTTTCCGACGCTGGACATGGTCGACGCCAAGCTGCGGCACCTTCCAATCGCCGCCGACGCGCGCCGCGCGAGCTTTCTCGCCATCATGGCCGACGCATACGATCGCGTCGACACGACGCTGCTTCGGCGCGGCCTCCTCGACGCGCCGATTGGGCACCGTTCGTTCCGCGTCGAGCCAAGCACGAGTGGCTCGTCCATGTTCATCGACATTCAGTACGTGCACGCGCAAGGGCGCGACTACGTGTCGGCCGCCGCCCACTTTTGGTCCATCTGGACATCCAACCAAACGCTTCCCGGCACGTTCGACTCCAAGGTACTGCACTTGCTTTGTCCTAGTTTACAGTCAGGTCGAAATGGCTACACCAGGTCCTTGAACGCTTCGGCGACGACACCGTGTACATGGAGCAGTTTGATACGTTCCATGGCACGGCGCCGTACTTGCGGCGGCTCTGTGGCATGCAGCGCATCGTCGAAAACCGGCGCATTGTGTTTGTCATGCGCACGATTCTCGACGACGAAAAGCACCCGCCCGTCGACGGTCTTTACATTGGCAACGACGCCGCCACGTACGTCGGCAGCTTCTTGTCTTTCCATTGATAACCCGAGATGGCGTAGGATCGTCTTTGAGCCCAAGGACGCCAAGTGGTGCATTCGCCGCATCAGCCTTGGCGGTGAACTCCCGATTCAGCCGCCGCCCGAGAACCCGCTCTTGCGCGAGAACCCGGCCGACCGCTTCATCTGCGACTTTGTGCTGCACGAAGTCACACGGACGTGCGATGCACTCGAGCGCATTCTAGCGTAAGCGCGAGATCGTAATCAAGACATAACGTGTCGCATTGGCAATTGAGAACATGGTGAGAAACACCAGTTGGGCTAAGACACCTTTGGTAGCTTGGCATCATTATCCGGATTCTACCGGATACAGTGCACAAAGTGATGGCCGACGACCTTGCAACCTGGAGCGCGCCGGTCCTGGACTCGTTCCTGGACCTGCTCATCGAGCCCGCAGCCGAGCCCACGCCGGCCATCACGGTCGAGAAAGCGACGCCGATAGCTAAGATGGCCATGACCCGGCGGCCCTCGTACGATGAGGACGACGCTAACAGCATGACCTCGGATGCTACCGGCAGCAGCAGCAAGAACTCGACGGCGCAGCAGCGGTATCGGAAGCGCCAGAAGCGCGAGCTCGAGTACCTTCGCGACCAAGTGGCCGAGATGAGCGCGCACCTCACAGTCCTCAAGAGCATTCATTGTATGGAGACGAGCCAGAGCTCGTTCTGGGAGAAGAAGGCGCGCGTTCAAAAGCTAAGCTGCCAAAAGGCCACACAGGAAAACGCGCACCTAAAAGATGCAGTTGAAGAGCAGCTCAAGATCGCCGAGATGCTGAACCAATTGCTCGCGAAGCGGCCCAAGCTGGCGGTACCAGGGCCATTGCTTTGCTGATGCTCATGAGCGTTAGATGTTCCCGACCATGGACACGGTCGACTGGCGGCATCGGCGGCTATTGACCGACAAGGTGAGTCGACACACATGCCTCCGCGCGCTTCTCCAAGACGGCTACGACCATGTCGATACGATGCTATTGCGCCAAAACCTCTTCGATGTACCGTCGGGCCACAAATCGGTGGCGGTCCGCCTCAACGAAGCAGGCACCGCGCTCGAGACTTCCGTCCAAGGTGTACATCGCATAGCGTCCAACTACTTGGCGTTGGCCAGCCGCCTCTGGTCGATTTGGAACGATCCGTACAACACTGCGTTTCAGCGCATCTTCCGCTCACGGGTCGGTCGGCGGTATTTGGCGCGACCAACTCATTTGCCGTCTTTAGGTGCTGGACAAAATTGACGACAATATCATCTACTGCGAGCACATCGAGCTCTTCCGTGGCGCGGTCCCATACCTCTACCGCCTCTGCGCGACACAGCGCTACATAGAAGACGACCGTGTTGTCTTTGTCGTTCGCACGATCTTGGACGACCCGCTGCACCCGCCGCCCGCCGGCCTCTACGTCTCCAACGACCAGCTCACGTAGGCGAAACGGGTCTTTCGCAGCGCGCTCGCAACGCTATTTGTAGGGTCATTTTTGAGCGTGTGAGTGAAACCGAGACCATGCGACGACTCTGCTTGAGCGGCGAGCTGCCCATTGCACCACCACCGGGGAGTCCTCTCACTGACAACCCCCAGCACTTGATCTGCGACTTCATTTTGCACGAAATGACGCAGTGTTTCGACCACTTGGAAGCGATCTTTGGATAATTGCGCAAGGCTACCGTTCAATCTTGTTGCGTCTTATTTGAGCATTGGTGGCGTCTGCCGGTCGGCGCCACATGCACAATATTGCGTGAAAGCGCAAGCAGCCAAACAAGCAACCACCAGATGATACGATCGAGCCCATTGAATCTGCAAGAGCAAAGTCGCTGTGCACTCTACTACTGTGTAAGCTTTCGCTGGCGTTGTCACTGCGGCCTCGACTGGAGAACTCGCCTCGCTTGTGATTGGCCGTGACGCACACTGTGTCATCGGGCTTGATCATGCCCGCGCCATGACGCGCAATCCGGCACCCTCTTTTTCGGTCTTTTGTCTCCTTGCTAGGACCATTTATCCCGTGCGTCTCAAATATAGGCCAATAAGACGCAACAACGAACGTTCCACATATATTTGGTGGCGCAAGTGTCCTCAGCATGGAGCCGCTGGTGGACTACGATGGCTACGAGGGCTGGGGCGCGGACGCGACGACGCTCTTCGAGCTCCTTCATGCGCCCACCGCAGATGCGCCGCCGGCTGTAGCACCGAGCGCAGGTGTGCGCAAGCCCATCAACGAGGACGACGACACGAGCTCGGACGCGAGCAAGAATTCGACCGCGCAGCAGCGGTACCGCAAGCGCCAGAAGCGCGAGCTCGACTATCTTCGCGAGCAGGTGGCCGAGATGAGCGCGCACCTCTCGGTGCTCAAGAGCATCCGCAGCATGGAGACAGATCAGAGCTCGTTCTGGGAGAAGAAGGCGCGCGTGCAAAAGTTGAGCAGCCAAAAGGCCGCGCAGGAGAACACCCGGCTAAAAGAAGCGGTCGAGGAGCAGCTCAAGATCGCCGAGACGCTGGATCAGCTGCTTGTCAAGCGGCCCAAGCTGGCGGTACGAGATGAGGCTCTAGACGTACAACCTAATGCGCATTAGGCCTTTCCGACCATGGACATGGTCGAGTGGAAGATGCGACGCATGCCGCTCGACGATGCGGGCCGCCACGCGTGCTTTCACGCGCTCATGGCCGACGTCTACGACCGCGTCGACACGATGCTGCTCCAACGCGGCCTCTTGGCGTGCCCGACGGCCACAAGGCGTTCAAGGTTTCGGCCAACACGGCCGAAGACGCGATTCTGATCGACGTTCAGGCCGTGAGCCTCATTCCATCGCACTTTATGGATGCCGGCATGCACATTTGGTCGATTTGGTGCGATCCCAACCACTCGGCGCTCAAGGGAATCTTCGAATCCAAGGTCTCCATTGCTATCGATACGGTAAGCTCATGCTCAAAGGTAGACGCTCGAGACTTTCGGCGACGACACGTCGTACCTTGAGCAAATCGAGTCGCTGCGCGGTGGGCGGCCGTACCTGCGCCGGCTCGCGGCCATGAAGCGCTTTGTCGAGGACGACCGCATCGTCTTTGTCATGAACACGGTCTTGCACGACCCCAAGCATCCACCTGTGGACGGACTATACAGTGGCAATGACGTGGTCACGTACGTTATCGTCCTCCTCCTGTCATGTCTCGAGCATCTCCGTGCGAATAGACTGGTGCTCGAGCGCGTGAGCGACACCGAGTCGCGGCGACGTCTCTGCCTCCATGGACAGCTCCCGATCGCACCGCCGCCCGGCAGTCCTCTTGTCTCGAACCCGCGGGATCTCATCTGCGACTTTATCTTGCACGAAGTTACCCACACGTTCGATGTGCTCGACCAAGTGATGCAGTGAGGTCACTCCGCACTACCCGAGCCCTACGCCAGTAACTTATAAACACCAGCGTCGCTTCTGCCTCGCTTTGTTTGGCTGCGACATCATGGGCAGAGCAGCCCGATGGGAACCGAAGAACGTGCTTGCCGATCGCCTTTGGGTGCTTCCAGCTGTCACATGAGACACTGCTGGGAACGTCGTTGCGATGGCATAGTCGAAACGGCGAAGCCGAGAGAAGGTCCAGCATGGTCGAGTCGATCCTGGCGTACGATGCAACGGCGTGGTCGCTCGACGCCGATGAGATCCTTGGCTTTCTCCATGCGCCGGGCACTGCGTGTACCGCGAGCCCGACCGAGGACCCGCCCGTCTCGGCGCAGAAGCGGTACCGGAAGCGGCAGCAGGCCGAGGTTCAGCGCCTCCACGACGAAGCAAACCAACTCAGCGCCCACTTGACGGTCCTCCAAAACATCCGTCGCATGGAGACCAGTCAGAGCTCGTTCTGGGAGAAGAAAGCGCGGCTCCAGCGGCTCAGCGTGCGCAAGGCAGCGCACGAGAACGCCAAGCTCAAGGAAGCCATCGAGACGCAGCAAAAGGTGCTCGAGACGATCCAGCAGCTCTTGCACAAGCCGCTCAAGCTCACGGTAGCACGACGATACCTTGATACCTATAGAGCGCTCATCTTGGTCGCAGGGTACCGCCAACGTCGAGCTCATGGACGTGAACCGGCGCTTCCTGCCACAGGACTCGGGTGCGCGCCATGCGTGCTGTCACGCCATGACCGACGAGATGTACGAGCGCGCCGACACGTTCTTGCTTCGGCGCGGACTCTACGACGGCGGCCACGGCCACAACAGCATTTGCATCGACAGCGCGAAGCATCAAGACACCATCTCGATCGAAATGCAGTGGGTCAAAGACTCGAGTGTCGGATTCCGCGAAGCCGCCGACCGCTTCTGGTCGCTGTGGTACCAGCCCGAAGGCAATGCCATCAACATCAAGGCACGACGTCTACCTCCGCGATCGCGAGGCTTACATGTGTATGCGTAGAACCTTGCGACCTTTGGGCGGGACACGGTGTACGTGCAGTTCATCGACGCGATCGACGGTCTCGCGCCGTACGCGCAGCGGCTCGCGTGCATCAAGCGCTTTGAAGAGCCCGATCGCATCGTCTTTGTCATGCAGTCGGTGCTGCAGGACGCCACATACCCCGTGCCCAGCGGACTCTACACGGCCAACGACACGTTTGTGTACGCCATGCAGACGCGCGACCTGGTGCTCATGAAGCTGGATGGAGTAGGTTTGTCGCCGAGCGCGTGACGGACACGACGTGCCGCCGCCGGTTCTGCCTCGCAGGCGAGCTTCCGTTGGCACCGCCGCCCGGCAACCCCCTCGCCGGTCTCTCCAAGCCCGCGATTTGTGACCGCCTCTTGGACGAAGCCAAGCGGGTGTGCGTCGTCTTCGATCACATCCTTGGGGACGCACCGCTGTGATGATTGTGCATGCGAGATTGATGAAACCTATATAAGAACTGGATATGTATCAACTAGATTCTGGATGGCACGAGATTTGGATCCGACTAGACTTCCGCTTCGTCTATTCCAGGAACAGCGACAAAGCGGCTTTTCCAACTTGTGGAACGGGCTTATGACCATCGCAGCTTCAGTACCCTTGCAGCAAGTGACATAGCTGCATCGACGTAGCCGCTTGCGCCACCAACGCCCGCGCGGGGTGCAAGGGTTGTCTTCTTCTGGGGGGTTAATCGAAGGCCGCGTCGATGGTGGCGCCGCGTCATTGTTTGAGACAGTGCTGGGAAGGGTACGAACCGGGTCATTTTCGGACGAGACCGTGCCACGCAATATGGAGCGTGACGACGCCTGGGGCATGGCGTCGCCCGACTTTCTCGACTTCCTGGACGCGTCGCCTCCGCGCACGGCCCAGGCCAGCGTTGCCGACGACGACGACGATGCCAACGCGACGGCGCAGCAGCGCTTCCGGAAGCGGCAGAAGCGGGAGCTCGATTTCTTGCAAAGCCAAGTCGCGGAGCTCAGCTCGCACCTCGCGGTGCTCAAGAACATCCGCGGCCTCGAAGTAAGCCACAGCTCGTACTGGGAAAAGAAGGCGCGCATGCAGAAGCTCGGGCGGCAGCAAGCGACGTCCGAGAACGCCCGCTTGAAGCGCGCGATCGAAGAGCAGCTCAAAGTCGCCGAGATCCTCAACCAGCTGCTCGTCAAGCGCCCGAAGCTCGTCGTACGTCTTTGCTTGCTCTATACATTGCGCCCGCGGTAACCATGTTGTCCTAGGCCTTTCCGACGATGGACATGGTCGACTGGAAGCTGCGGCGGCTGCCGCGCGACCCCGCGGCGCGCGCGATCGCCTACCACGCCTTTATGAACGACGTGTACGAGCGCGTCGACACGATTCTGCTGCGGACAGGAATTTTGGACGCGCCGGACGGTCTCCGGTCCATCGACCTCTCGACGACCGACGACGTCATGACCGTCGACGTCCGCGGCGTCAAGGCGCTGCCGTGTCACTTTCTCAGCGCTGCGCTGCGCTTCTGGTCCCTCTGGAACGACGCGTCCAATCACATTCTCGAAGGCACGATCCGCGTCAAGGTCCAAGCTTTCCATTCGGAGAAGAAAGCTCAGTCGTCGTGTAGGTGCTCGAGGCATTCGGCGACGACGGCGTGTACATTGAGCAGACCGAGTCGCTCGGCGATGCGATGCCGTACCTCCGGCGCCTCGGGGCGCTCAAGCGCTACGTCGAGGAGGACCGGGTTGTCTTTGTATTCCGCACGGTCCTCGACGACGAAAAGTACCCGCCCGTCGATGGTCTTTACATTGGCAACGACACGATCGTGTAAGCACTTGATATATTGATAGAAAGAGCTTGCGACCGGTGGTAAGTAGGTTGATACTCGAGCGCGCTAGCGACAACATGGCCGTGCGCCGCGTGTGCATGTCTGGGGAGCTCCCGATTCAAGCGCCACCGAACGGTCCGTTGGCATCCAACCCGCAGCATTTGATTTGCGACTTCATTTTGCGCGAGGTCAAGCGCACGTTCGAGACGCTCGAAAGTTTGTTTGGCGACTAGCGACCGCCATCCGTGTATCCGTCTCCTGTATTGCATAAAATAGGGATCAACAAGAATTGGGTGCGGAAATAGAGTCTGTGCTTGCTAAACAAGTGAGCCTCCAGACGACGTGTGCCCCAAGAGCAGGCCAAGAAGACACGCAAATCAGAGGACGGAGAGCTCGGACGAGCGGCCATGCACGCACAAAACAGCTGTCGTCTCGAGAATTTCATCATGTGCCCGATTGCGCTACGAGGTCTCGATTGCGCTACAGATCCACGGCGCGTGGCTCATCGCTACAACAGTTGGACGTAGAATCGAGAGCGCTTCGTGTCGATTCCATGCCCGCGCGGACTGGGCCTGTTGCCTTGTGGCGCTAGATTCAGAAGCGTTTCACCAGACAAGGGGTGGGATAAGGGCTAGGGTATACATGAAATTCTGTAGCCAAGCTCCAAAGAACGTTCTAGGACGCCAGGATCTCTGCTCCGCCACCTTGGACGGAGGCCTCTTCTTGAAGCGACGGCGCAGGGCGTCAAATCACAGGCCTAGGCGAGCTTTGGGTCTCGGTTGCTGCTGCTTGGCATATACTCTGCTGATGCCACAGGAGCGAGCACTGTGTTTCTGGTGCATTTGCCAGCGAGGATGCACGCCAACATGAGCGTGCTCTCTACCATGACCGCATCGTCGACCATAGCTCCTGCTGGCCGTTTGTTGGTCTGAAGCAATTGTCGCTGATTGGCTGCTTCTATAGATGTTCGATGGCGCATGACGTGGCACTCCAGTATGTCGAGGATCGTCGATAACGATTTGAAGAGACAAGGCTATCAAGAAAGCCAAACTGCGATCCGTCTAACTCCTTGTAGCAGCTCTACAAGGTGTAGAGTCCAGCGGTCGCATGACGAAGCGGTGGGCTCGGTGAATCGCAGCGCAGAGCATTTGTTCGACAAAGATGCATCGTATTTATTGATACACTTGGACTTTGCCCCGTCGTTGCACTCTCTGAGATTCAAAGGCGCTTCACCCAAGAGCCAAGCCCACGTCACAGCCAGCTTTTACGCCACGCTGAGGCCATGTCTTCTTCTTGTGATAACCTCGTCGCGTAGGTGCGATAACGCTACGCCACCGACTCGTTCACGTCGCACGAGAGTTTGCCATCGACACGCCTTCGACAGTATACGTTGATGTCCAAGAGCCGTGCGGTATGGCGCAGGAGTCGCCACGCCTTGCACTGTCTATTCAAGCTTGCTAAAGCATGCGAGTTGACCATCGCGCCATGCGTGCCGTGGTAGGACAGTAATCTTGTTTAGACAGCGTCACCGGCCTGTAATCGCCGCCACCGACCGTGCGGGAGCAAGCGCAGTTGGCTCTTCCAGCGACGGCTGTACGCACTGCGTTAACAGATGCAACGATAGCAATAGAACTGGACGGTTGGAGGGTATACCGTCCACGGGTGCAGCTAGAAAATCGACGACACGGTGGCGCTAAAACAGCAGGACGTCGAGGTCTCCCATCCGAAGGGTTGCGAAGATCACGCTGGGGCGGGCCAATCAGAGCGTTTCATTTCGATATTGCCATTGACGATGGCCAGCGACGACGAGCTCTTGCTGCGGACCTTCCCACTGACGCCGTCGCCGCCCTTGGCCTCCGCAGCGTCAACGCCGTCGCCACTGCCGGCTGCGATCGAGAGCACGGACGACTTTTTCCTCGACCTGCCCTCGATCAACAAACTGCTGCTCTCCGAGACATCGTCGACCGAGAGCGACAAGGACACGCCGGCGACGCGCAAGGCCAAAAAGTCGAAGTCGCTCGCCGCCGGTGACGAAGACCCGTACAGTCGCCAGCACCGGTACCGGAAACGACAGAAGGACGAGCGGCAATTCCTACGCGACCAAGTGCAATCGCTCACAGCGCAGCTCCGGCAACTGCGCGACGTCAAGACGGTCGAGCTCGCGTCGAGTTCCGAGTGGCAAAAGATTGTGCGCACGCAGCGCGTTCACGCCCACCAAGCGACGCTGGAAAACACGCGGCTCAAGCGCGCGCTTGAGGACCAGCTCAAACTCGCCAACACGCTCGACCAGCTCCTCGTCAAGCGCCCGCGTCTGCTCGTACGGCTATCGCTCCTCTGGGCACTGATTTCTGATGGCCGCTGGACTAGAAGTTTCCGACGCTGGACGTGGTCGACTGGAAATTCCGCAAAATGCCCGCCGACCCGAGCGCGCGCGAGGCCTCGTTTCACGCGATGATCGACGACGCGTACAGCCAGGTCGAGTCGATCCTGTTGCAGAAAGGCCTTCGCGACGCACCGGACGGGCACCACGCCATCGACATCACAATGCCGGATGGTGACGACTGCATCGTCATCGATGTCCAGAGTGTCCGCGTTCTGAACGTCGACTTTCTTGACAATTGCAACAAGTGCTGGAGTCTGTGGTGTGAGCCCGACGTTACCACGACGGCCAAGATCCCAACCGTCAACATCAAGGTACTGTACTTATACCACGGATGGGTCTCTGATGCCACGCGGAAGGTTCTCGATCGGTTTGGCCCGGACGCGGCGTACCTCCAAGACATTGGGTCGTTTAGGGACCAGAAACCTTACCTCTTCATGCGCAGCGCTATCAAGCGCTACGTCGAGAAGGACCGCGCAGTGATCGTCATGCGGACGGTGCTCGATGACCCGCTGCACCCGCCACCGCCTGGCCTTTTTATCGGCAACCACACTGCCTTGTATTACATACTGCTGGACATTCATCCTCGTCTCGTCTTATGTGTACTGTGGTCCTAGCTGCCTCCTGGAGCGCCTCGGCGGTGACAAGTGTCGTCGCACAATGTGCATGCTTGGGCAGCTGCCGATCCAAGCACCCGGCACCGGCCCGTTGGCCGACGAGCCGCCCATGATGGTCTGCGATTATGTATTGAGCCACACAACGCAAACATCCCACCTCATTGAGGATATTCTCGGCGAATAAGTGAAGCAAGTGTTTCCGCAATCTTTTTTTCGGTGGGTTTTCGCCAGTCGATGTCGCCTTGTGCGCTCACTATGGTAGTTGCCTACCTCGTGGACTCCTGACGCAGGAGGGCGCAAAAGATTGCCGATCCAAGTCGCCGTCTGTGACACGTGATGGCACAACGCACACAGCAGCTGTGACGTTATGTCCTTGGTTTCGGCGTTGCTCGCTCGCCTTTCTCTCCACGTCGCGACCGGGGCTGATAAGAACGTAGTGGCACAAGGTATTCCCAGAGGGATTTATTATTTCCGTGTTGTAGAGACACTCGCGCCGCAATGGCGCCGTCGCTTCGAGACGAGGAGGACACAGATGGTCCAGAAGGAGTTCCAGACGCAGACGTCCGGTCCAACCGTCTGGTCGACACCCAAGTTTACCACGGCCACGTCGACGACCTGTGTGCGATGACGCAGCAAGAGATCCGACGTAATTTTAGCCAATCGGCCGAGTTTGCACTTTCTCGTTTCAGAGTAAACAGCGCCAAAAAGCGACCGCGACGGACAAGAGATGGAGCCCAGTGTCGAACCTGCGGCCTATTGCACCGCCATGCGCACGCGGTCCTTGTCGACAAAGGCGACCCCTGCCTTGCCCCCCGCGATTGAAAACATGGACGACTTTCTATTCGACTTGCCGAGCATCAACAAGATGCTCGTGTCGTCCGAGTCGACGTCGTCGTCCGACGAGACGATCAAGGCGGACGCGAGCGTCGGGCCGTACAGCCGCCAGCACCGGTACCGCCAACGACAAAAGGACGAGCGCAAGTTTCTCCGCGACCAAGTCGAGTCGCTCTCGGCGCAGCTCGAAGCGCTGCGCGACGCCAAGCCCCCCGAAAACGTATCGTCCGAGTGGGAGACCGTTGCGCGGTCCCAGAAAGCGTACGCGCACCAAGCAACCCTCGAGAACGCGCGGCTCAAGCGGGCGCTGGAAGACCAACTGCGACTCGCGGGCTCGCTACAGCAGATCCTGTCAAAGCGGCCACGCCTCATGGTACCCGACGAGATAAAGAAGGTGTAGGGACTCACGGCACTTGGACTAGAGGTTCCCGACCATGGACTCGACCAGGCGCCGTCTGCGGACCATGCCGATCGATCAAGCGATGCGCGAGGCTGCCTTTCACACGCTAATGGACGACACGTACGCGCAAGTCGAGTCGATCCTCCGGACGAAAGGCCTGGCGACGGCGCCAGACGGCCACCAGTCGATCACACTGGACACGACGTCGTCGAATGAGACGATTGGGATCGACTGCATGGGCGTGCGGATCATGGCCTCCGACTACATTGCGAGTGCCCAGAAATGCTGGGCAATCTGGTGCGAGCCCGAGACGCGCCCACATCTGCCCAACGTCCAGATCGACATCAAGGTACTTTAACCTCATTTATTCTCACGAAACACCAGTTCTTCTCACGTTGTATTTGGTTTTGGATCGCGTAGATCCTGGATCGCTTTGGGCCAGACGCCACGTACTTTCAGGACCTTGGGTCCTGCGGCCAAGACAAGCCGTACATGGTCATGCTCAGCGGCATGAAGCGCTTCTACGAGAGGGACGTCATTGTCATGAAAACGTTCCTCGAAGACGAGGCGTACCCACCCCCTCCAGATATGTTTATCGGGGACCACACGGCGCTGTACACCCCCCATGCGGCTCAATGTTGGCTCACGTTTGCGACTAGATTCGTCCTGGAGCGGCTCGACGATGGAACGTGCCGCCGCCGCAGCTGCCTCCTCGGCTGCTTGCCCATCCAAAGCGTCGAGATTGCTCAGTTCGCGGACCAACCGCCCATGATGGTGTGCGACTATGTCCTCCACCACACGCGCGAGGTCTCGAAAGCGCTCGAGAGCTTTATGAGCTAAATATCTATCGGCTCGATACCCATGTACTCTACTATTCAATCATCTAATACACTGCCGCACGTCTTGTTGCTTTGAATGAGCGAAGGTCCTAGTTCGTGCTACCGCACCACCTGCACCGCTCGGCCACAAACGTTGAGCCTGTGGTAATCATCACAGGTGAGTTCAAAGGTTTCTTGAGCAGCAGGTTTAACTGAACGTTCGCGACACACATGTGTTTGGACCCATCACTTTTGTGTCTTGTGGTGCGCCGTGCCACGCGGTGCAACTCATACTCGCTGCTGTCGCGTATACTTGGAGCTAAAATGTATCGCAGCTGCTGGACTAGATCGTTCAAGAATGGATCGTCAAGCGCCCGCTCCTTCTGCGATGGCGCTAGACGTGGCTGCAACGCGGCGATGTACCTCGACCATGATTATCTACGACACACCAGTCTCGGAGTCTGCGCCACGTGGGCTAGACAGCATCATACCGGTATATACAGCGTCCAGTCGATTTGCATGCGTCGCGGGTGAGAACCACATGTACAGTGCACGGTCTCGGTGGAGGTGAGTGTCTATGATACCTTGCCACGATTGACAGCAGCCGTCTCTGCGCTAGGCCCGCGCCACGAGGGCTGGCTATCGATTTTGCATGCGCCAGCAGCCGTGAGCAACACCGCCACAAGCAGCTGATCCCCGAGGCTGCAGCGTCATGTGCCGTGCACTATGCGCAACGAGTAGTCCTCAACGTGTGGTCGCCTGCTGGCGCTTGGTTCGAGTGCAGCTAGATCTCTGTGCTACATTGTGGAACCACGAACGGTTTGTTGCAGCCAACGGCGGTTTGACACTCTCCTGCACTTTTCTCTACAAAGCCATCAGTGGGATATGCATTGCGACCTAATCTTCGTTGGGCGTCGCGGGTGCTCGTTGGAGGTCGCCTGCAGACCGTGGTTGACGCGGGTGACTCACATATCTTTATGTCTCTACTCGCGTTCTCTACTATCGAAACGGCCGATGTGTTTGATGTACAATTGACAACATGTATCCACTGATACCTCAAACAATTCCACGACGTACGAGCGTTCCGAGAGCATTCGACGGGCTAAAAACCCCGCGAAAACAGACAAATCACAAACGCTAATTATTGAGCCAATCACACGTCGCATTGTTTCGGGCTATTTTTCAAGCTGGACAGGAGTCAACGATGGAGGCCGATGCGCTGGGCGAACTGACCTGCCTCCCAGACGACGCCTTCCCGCCGGCTGTCGCCGAGGCGAGCCCTTCCTTGGCACCATTAGCGTCGCCAGCCGCGATGGGTCTGCCGCCGCACATCGAGAACGCCGACGACATCCTCTCGGCCCTGCCGTCGCTTGGTCGGCTGCTCGTGACCGACGACGACACGTCGACCGAGACGCGGCAGAACCGGTACCGCAAGCGGCAAAAGGACGAGCGCGACTACCTTCGCGAGCAAGTCGACACGCTCACGTCGCAACTCAACGTCCTTCGCCAGGTCAAGTCGGTCGAGCTCGCGACGAGTTCGACGTGGAAAAAGACTGCCCAGAACCAGCGCACGTACGCGTGCGAAGCCACGATGGAAAACAAGCGACTCAAGCGCGCGCTCGAGGACCAGCTCAAGCTCGCGACGGCGCTGGATCAGCTCCTCGTTAAGCGGCCCCGACTCCTCGTGCGTGGCAATATGCTCATATTGTGTCTGAGCCCGTTCCGTAGAGCTTTCCGACAATCGACGTCGTCGACTGGAAGCTGCGCAAGATGCCGTTCGACCCAAAGGCACGGGAAGCGACGTTTAACGCGATGATGGACCATGCGTACAGCCAAGTCGACTCGATTTTGCTTCGGAAAGGGCTTCTCGACGCGCCGGATGGTCACAATTCGATTGCGCTCGAGACCAACGAGACCGATGATTCGATCGTTCTCGACGTGCAGAGCGTGAGTATTCTGAACATGGACTTTGTGGCAAGCGCCGACAAGTACTGGTCGCTCTGGTGCGAAGCCAGCGACCGCGGCAGCATTCCCTTCATCAACATCCAGGTACGCAAGGCTGCTCAAGCGTGTTTTGACGATGGGACCACTAGATTCTCGAGAGGTATGGCGACGACGCAGCGTACGTGCAAGACGTCGGATACCTCAGCAATGGATCGCCGTACCTCTTTATGCTCTGCGGCATGAAGCGGGTTGTCGAGAAGGACCGCGTCGTGATTGTTATGCGCACGTTCCTTGAAGATGCACTGCACCCGCCGCCGCCAGGGCTCTACATTGGCAACCACACGGCCGTGTACGAAGCTTCAACTTTTGATTTGTGACGTTCATGGTTGAGATGTTTAGATTTGTGGTCGAGCGACTACCGGACGGAAAATGCTGTCGCCGCATGTGCATGCTCGGGCAGCTCCCAATTCAGCCACCTGGAGACAGCCCGCTGTCCAAGCACCCACCGCTCATGGTGTGCGACTACATCCTCAAGCACACAACGCAGACGTCGCATTTGATTCAGGATATTTTAGAGTAAATCAATCAAGATACCACACACGACGTATGACGAATTGATCGTATTGCCCATCCATGCAATAGATATCACGTTCCATCAAGTGCGAACACAGACAATATGAGGGGCTGGACAAAACCACAAAACGCGGGAAGTAATCAAGAGTCGTGGTCTTCGTGTCGGCTGACGAGTGTCTGGAGATGCTCTCTTGACAAGCCGCAACCGCGCTCACATCCGTCCAGGCGTGCGAGGCCTTTGCTGCCGTCGACTCGGCGCTGGTTGTGGTTTTGCAGCGCCCGCTGCAACGGTGGTTCTTAGTCGCGTCGAAGCACTACAGTATGCTGACTGCCTCGGCGTGCTGCGTGCTCCACGTCACGAGTGATCTGCACGAATTCAGTAGCGTTCCATTCACACACATAATGTATAATCTATGCGCTGCTACTGTACTGTGGACACGCGTGGCAGCGCCTCGTGACAGCTAGTGCGCATCAAGCAAAACAACTGGTCAACGTCAAAGTGGATAATACGTCAAAGTCAATATGGGCAAAATGGTTATCCTGTTACAAACACAGCCAGTGGCTAACGGGTTGAAGGATGGACACCAGGTTCGATACGTCAAACCGACACTTCGGGTCCAGGTTCTGGTGGCATTCTTGCGATTGAAAGCGTTCATTACCAGTCATTTGGCTACCAGAATGCAATGCGGCGGGGGTAGGTACGGACGAACAAGCGTCTCGAATTTCGTTCAATTTCAGACTTTCAGAATCTAGAATTGAAATGTGACGGTGGGCATTCCGCTTTGTCCATGTGATGGGGCGCCCGAGCGACGTGCGAGCGTTGCCACTCACTTTTCATTTTGCTCGCTCATGGCGCTCGGGCTCACTTTTGCACAAGAGACTGCAATTGCCGTCGCCGTCGGGCTCACCTACATGCTCATTACCAAGCTCCCACTCATCTACCGCCGCAAAGCTCGGATTGCCGCCGCGCTCGCCCGTCTGCCGAGTCTTCCGGGCCACAAACTGTTTGGCAACTTGGTGCAGCAACACGAGCACATCCACGACCACTACTACTGGAAACTGGAGCTTTTCGAGACGCTTGGGAGCACGTATGCGGTGCGCGTGGACCTTCTCATGGACGGCTCTGTGTGCACGTCAAGCGCCGCCAACGTCCAGCATATCCTCGCGAGCAACCACACCAACTACGTCAAGCCAGCCATGATGCAGCGCGCGCTCAGCGAGCTCATGGGCCGCGGCATCTTCAACGTCAACCCGTCGGCCTCGTCGAGCTGGAAGGCCCAGCGCAAGATCATCGCGTCGCTCTTCTCGACCAACGCCATCAAGACACTCATGGACGCCGTCTTCCTCGAACACACGTCGGCGCTGGTGTCGGAGATCGAAGCGCAAGGCGACGGCGCGCTCTTGGACGTCGAGGCGATTGCGCTGTCGCTGACGACCAAGTTCACGTACGCCATGGCGTTTGGGCTCGTCTTTGAGACCGCCAACGCCACCGAGTTTCGAGACCTTTTTCGGGAGGCGAGCAACCTCAGCGTCGCGCGCTTCACGCAGCCGTGGTACCGATGGCTCGGCTGGTTCATGCCGTCCGAGTACCGCCTCGCACGCGTCATGCGGCGCATCAACGCGCTCTGTCGCGACACAATCCGCACCAAGCGGCTCAGCGCCACCAGGGGCAACGACCTTCTCTCGGAGCTCCTCCGGCGCCAGGAAGCCGGTGACAACCTGATTTCGGACACGTTTATCCGCGACATGATGATGACCATGATGCTTGCGGGCCGGGAGACGGTCGGGAGCGGCCTCGCGTGGATCCTCTACGCGGTGAGCAAGCACTCTGACGTCGAAGCGCGGCTTCTAAGCGAGCTCCAAGCCAGCGAGATCACCTACGCGAGCGTGGGCTGCATGTCGTACCTCGATGCGATTGTGCGTGAGACCTTCCGCCTCTTCCCACCCGTGCCCTACGAGCTCAAGAGCGCAGTCGCCGACGATGTGTTGCCCGACGGCACGTTTGTCCCGGCAGGTACCAACGTCGAATTCTCGCCCTTCGTCATGGGCCGCGACCACACCCGGTGGCCGCAAGCGACGACGTTCTCGCCTGAGCGTTGGCTCACCGGCGCTACGCGACCAAGTGCGTTCGAGTATCCGGTCTTTCACGCGGGCCCGCGCCGCTGCGTCGGCCAATCCGTCGCGCTCCTCCAGCTCAAGGTCGTTGTTGCGAGCCTCTACCAGCGCTTCACGTTTGAGCTCATCGCGCCGCTCAACGATCCTGCGTTCGAGCTCGGCATTGGTCTCTTCTCGCAGGACGGCATTCAAGTCCGCGCGTACCTCCGGCCCTAAAGTATGATATCAATTGATCTATCTATCTATCTCTCTTCTCGCAGGACGGCATTCAAGTCCGCGCGTACCTCCGGCCCTAAAGTATGATATCAATTGATCTATCTATCTATCTATCTATCTATCTATCTATCTATCTATCTATCTATTCTTAACGCGAAATCTTTCGCCGATGGTCAAATCTCGGTTTGAACCGTTCGGCTCCACGAAACGTCGCCGGCGGTTGACGTGAAACCTAAACCAAGGATGGCGATGCGACGCGAGGGCTCAACGACCGAGTTCGAGCCCCGGGACCCGCGTGAGAAAGCCGAAAAGTACCTCAAAGCCAACAAGATCCACGAGATTCTTCAGGTACCGCTCTCACCCACTACTCGTCGATGTCATGGGTCGTTTGCCAGGAGATCTGCACCAACATGATGTACATTCGCCCGACCAACCCGCGTGAGTTTATGGTGCAGCAGCTCAACCTTATTCGCCATGCCCGCGAGAACCGGACGGCCGTACACACATCACCGACTACAGCCACGGTCTCATGGCGTGCTAGATGACGTTCTTTACCGAGACGGACTTGGCGACAATGTTTTCCATGTTTGACACGACTAGCCAGGGCACAATTAGCCTTGTGCAGTACGACCAAGGTGTCGTCCATGCATTAGAAGAGGTCGTTGATCAATATGTCCTCTAGCCTTGCTCAACCTCGGCATCGATCGCCCGACGTTGCGCCTTCCTGAGTCGATCAACCGCGTTGATAAGACCTTGTTTGTGCGCAGCATGCTCCAGGAACTCAAAAACAATTCGTGCGTGTAGTCGATGCATTTCATATCTATACACAATGTACAACGAACGATATTCCAAATGGCGACTAGAGGATCGTCAGATCGTCGTTGTAGTAAATGTGCACGATCGGCTGGTACTCGTCAGCGTCGAGATGGAGCTTTTCAAAGTCGGCGGCTTCGTCGACGACGCCGTTCTGCGTCAGCGTCTTGTCCATGTCGAGTGGTAGAAACTCGTGCCCGTCCAAGTACTAGCGCATCGCTCGAGACCAATAGTATTGTCCCTGGACCCCACCTTCCACGTGTAGCTGCCGGCGTGGGCGTTGTACTGCAGGTCAATGTACCGCTTCTGGATCTCGTGCAGGGTTTCCTCCGAACACACCTAGCATCGACATATCGCGACGACATCCATCACAAAACGGAACCTGAATCGAGTGACTCTGGTGCGTCAGCGTGTTGACGACCCGGATCGAGCGCACATTTTCGGTCATGAGCCCGATGCAGTGTGCATCGTCCTAGAAGTCATTAGTCGGACGGCGGGCATGCATGCGCGCACCGTCCACCACGGCTGGAGCTCCAGCGTGTTCCAATCGGTCACGGGCTCGGGGGGCGGTACGCCGAGAAAGCGGCCGTAGGGCAAAAACGGCAATCGAATGTTGCGGTCGGGATCGATGTGGGTCTTGACCTGCGATTGGCTCAGTCGCCGTCTGCTCAGCCGTAGCGTATATACCTCGCGCGTGAGCGGGTCGAACCAGTGCGTAATGTCCTCGCCAGCGTGCTGCACCAGCGGCTGCGTGAGCTGGCCACGGTGCGCTGCGATGAGCGCCGTGACATCCAGAACGCGCCCAAAGACGACGAGCCAGCAGTCCTACACCATTATGAGCGCCGAGGTGTGCGCGGGAGAGCGTCGTACGTCGGCGCACTTGTGGATGCCCACTTCTTCGGGCGTGTAGTACCGGCGGTGGATCGTCTTGAGGTGGAACTTCATGGTGTTGACTTTTGAAACCTGCGCAAAAACGACCGTCGTTTCGGCGGGATGAAGCGACGACCGCCGCCCAAGTCGGAGCAGGCCAAACGCGCCTTCTTGCGCCGGCTCGGGTCCGAAATAACAAAGGCGTCCACCGTCGTCCAGGATGCGTGGAGTCCAGGCCACAACTTTTACTCGACAACCGAAGTCCGCAGCTGGGGCAGCGGCAGCCACGGCCAGCTGGGGCTCGGCGACGACCGCCACCGTCTCGCACCCGAGATCGTCCTGGAGCTCTATCGCATCTCGACGGACCATCGCAAGCTCCAGGTTCCATCGCCCATCCTCACCTGCGCATGTAACAACAACCTGCGTTTCTAGCTGAGCTGCAGTGAGCTCTTCACGGTTGCTGTCAACGACGAAGGCCATGTGTATCTATGGGGACGTCCGCCGACCGACACGACCTTACCCACGACAGCCAGGCTTCCCGAACGTGTGCCAGGTCTGGACGGCGTCGTGATTCAGAGCGTCGCTTCTGGTTCGGGGCACATTGGCCTCCTCTCGGCCGCTGGCGCCGTCTACACGTGGGGCCAAGGCGCAGGCGGGCGTCTCGGCCACGGCGATGAGCACAGGTGAAGCGCCCGCTCTGCGCGAGCGTTGCTGACAATCCATGCAGCGTCGCCATCCCGAAGCGCATCCAGCACATGCCAACGACAGCCGCTATTCAGTGCGTGCACGAGCTCGCGTTGGAGTCTCACATGCATTGTAGCCAAGTCGCTTGCGGTGCGGAGCATACCCTCGTGCTGGACGCCACGGGGCGCGCGTTTGGCTTTGGAAGCAACCGCGCGGGACAGCTCGGCACTGGCTCGTACTGCAATAGCAACGAGCCACTGCTCGTGGCCAGCCCCGTGCGCTTTGCCTCAATCGTCTGCGGCATGAACCACTCGGGCGCCGTGAGCCTCGACCACGCCGTGTATACGTGGGGCTGGGGCGAGAAAGGTCGATTAGGCCTTGGCTCGGACGAGTCTCTGCACACGTGCGTCGCCTTCCACTCGACTGGTGCACACACGAAGTGCCATGCTTAGACCCACGCGCATCGAGAGCTTGCGCGACGTCAAGCAGCTCAGCTTTGGCGGGGCTCACTCGCTTGCTCTGACAAACAGCCGCAAAGTACTGTGCCTTTGCGATTGCAGTACATCTTCATGGACGACTGACTAGGTGTATGCGTGGGGCTGGGGAGCGTTTGGCCAGGTATGCCCTGTACGTTGAAAATGCTCAGTCGACGTGGTTAGCTCGGCCTCGGGCACTGCAGTGACTCAAGCGTGCCCAAGCTCGTCAAGAGCCTCGACGACATCGAGCAGGTTGCCTGTGGCTTTGGGCACTCGGCCGCCGTCTCGTTTGCGGGACGACTCTACCTCTGGGGCTTTGGCGAGGAAGGGCAACTCGGCACGGGCGACGAAGGCAACCGCGATGTGCCGCAGCTTGTCTGGACCCACGCAAGCGGCGGTGCCACCGACCCGCCCAAGGTCCTCCAGATTACCCTCGGAAAAGTGCACTCGATTGGGATCGCTGAGCTGAGCATGAGCGCATCGCAGCGGGCCAAGCTCAACCCGGACACGATCCGCGCCGCCGCCAAGCGCATTCAGCGCACCGTGCGGCGCTTTCTACGATGCTCGCGTGTACGCTCTCGTGGATCTGTCACCATGACAGCCTGCCTATGGGTAGGTGCGCCGCCGACACGCCGCGCATACTTTGGCGCGACAGGCGCAGCTCGAGCGAGAGCGCGTGGAGGCGAGCCGCCAGCTCGTCGCCGACGAGGAAGCGCAGCGCAAGCGCGACGAGCAAGCCAAGTGCGACGCCTTGCAAGCCGTCGCCGCCGCCAAGCGCGCGCGGAAAATGCTCGAAGTACAATCATCACCACTGGCTTTTCTCATCTCGGGCTCGATCGGTAGGCCCGGCTCACGGTGGCCACGCGGCTGCAGGCCGTGGTTCGAGGCGCCCGTGCGCGGGCGACGTGCGCTGTGCTGCGAGCGCACGCACGGGCCGCGATGCTGAAAGCGCGCGCCGCTGAAGCCGCTGCGACCCGCG